TAGGGTCAATATGACCCAAAACATAAAAAAAGGATACAAATTGCACAAGTTACTAGTACTTGTTTATTTAACGCAAAACTAACAAATAATATTCTTTAAAACTCAGAAATTACAGATAATAATAAAATATTGTTATAAAAAGCTATTTTTATGTTTTACAATTTGGACAGAAGTATGTACAGTGAGTTTTACAAAGATGTTTATGACAATTATTACATACTATATTTGTGTTATTGTCTTTAGTTGAAGGACAAAATTTACAACGGCTGCGTTTTAGAGTAGTACAAGATGCACTTCCATTGTTTTGAATTCTTTGCACAACATTTCGCGATTCCTCTGTTCTTGGCAGATGTGTTCTGCTTCTTATGTGGTTTTGTATTACAGATCTTCTAAAAATATTCTTCTTCTAGTTAGCTTGTTCGCGTTCCAATACTCCTCCATAGAACAAAGGCATTATGACCTGAGATATCAAGCATATTATAGAATACTATCATAGGCCAGCGATTTGTTTCACGCTTACAGGTGTATGTGGTTATCAGCTGATCTAGAGTATCAACAGCTCCTTGTGTAGCGTTATAGTCTAATATTATTTGCGGTTTTTTGTCAGCCCTGGTACTAATTTGTATGTCGTGGTATAATGTGGGAATATAGTTGACTACGATAGTGTCATTCGTAAAATAAAAGCAAGAACTATATACTTCTTTATTTACCATGGACTTTGGAAGTATCGTAATTTTTTTTTCAGAAGACACTGCCCCAGATTGTAAGACGTAAAGAAATTATCGCAAGTTAGATGCCTTGATTTTTTTGAGGAGCTGCACCCGGTGCTTTTCCTGTATATATTTGTAATTTCAAAGCATAAGAAGTTTGACCATCACAAAAGGGTCTAAATTTTAATTCCATATTTTGCTGGGAATGTACTATTTGAAAGGGCAGCGCCCTCTAAATGCTACTAACTGTTCGTTAATAGTAACATTTACTCCAACATTATACAATTTTGGAAAAACATCCACCCATTTCTCCCAGATTTCTTGAATAGCAAGTACGGCTTCTCTCTTGCCTTGTATTTCTGTCATCAAACCAAATTACACGAGATATCATGGAAAACGTCTCCAATGACATAGTTGCTCTAAATATATTTCTACCAGTTTCTTTATTCCACAAGATTTTCGTAGATTCCCCATATGACCGATAAACCCCAGCAAGTAACAACAATCCTACGTAATCTTCAAAAACAGTACTACTACAGCATTATGAGATGTAACTTATCTTGGCTCTTTAACGGCATATCTTGTAATTCCTGGTGTTTGGTGTATTACATTGGCAGCAGAAAAGCGACCACGTTGCTGCGGTTGTTTCGACTTCCATTCTATTCTTCCATCCTTTGAAGAACAACTTTGTACATTTGTACTTAGATGCATAGTATCGACTTCAACATCTTGTACAGGGTCCGGCAGTGAAACGGAAAGATTTCGTAAATAATTTTATTGTTAAAGAATTTTTTTTTAAATAATTTTTAATACATTAATGGAAAATAAGAGAGTAGCCATTTGGTTTACAATGTCAAAAAAATTATTTTTTGAATGCATTCTTGGAGTCGTGCCTGAAAGGTTTGCATAACTCTGCAAGAAAGAAGTCGCAGGCTGTTAAGTTGGGCCAACTGATATCCCCGTTTCAAAGCATTTACAGTACTCATTGAAATTCTTGCAGTGTGACTTGTTGCTCCGTCTTGTTGAAAAATTGTTTGTTCATTCACTGGAAAGCCTTCGAGTTGTGGTGTGAGAAAATTCTGAATCATTGCAACGTGTCGTACAGAATTAACGATAACGACATTTTCAGCATCATTCTCTGGATGCTTACCCATCCAACGCTCCATTGTAAACTAAATAGCAAATCATGCAGGTCTTGGCAAGTCGACTACGTTCTTCCCCATCACTTCGCGGCGCGCTGTAAACCCTACCTCAAATCTTTCCTTTTCATTGCCGGACCCTGTATAATCTTCATATTCGGAAATATCTTCATTACTGTCAGATGCTTCAATATACGCTTGTAACTCTTTGTCAGTTAAAGGTCTGCGACGTGCCATGTTGAATGTAAAGTCGAATACTGAATCATAACTGCATCGATGCCTTGTTTTATAGTCTCAACATCGTTAGCCAGCACAGACTTGTCAACGCACACTATGGTATTGTCGCAGATACAAGTACAGACTTGTTACTATACTGTGACTTATACAAAAATGTAATATGAAATAACAATTTAGGATTACATTTTGTTTCTAGTCAAATAGACCCGAACAGTACAGCAGGGTTAAATATTTTCGTTTTCGTCAAATCATCTCATCAATATTGGTCATCTGCCAATCTTTGTACTCAAACGTGCAATAATATTGTCAATACTCAGATATTGACATATTTTTGGTTGTCCTAATAATAAGTATTGTTTATGATACTTAGGGCGGCCGATGTATTCGAAAATTATTTATAATAATAATAATAATAATTATAGACTTTATTAGAATGGCATTTCACAAAACAACAATATAAATGTAACTGGTTGGCAAGGGCGAAGTTAAGACAATCTTCTTCTCTTCCACTCAATCCTGCCATAAAAATAAACAAAATATAATAATAATAAAAAAAAACAAAAAGAAAACAAAATTAAACTAGGTACAAAAAAAAACTAATAATAATAATAGCGCATCAATTAAAAATAAACGAAAGAAAAAAAAAATTTTTGAAATAATAATATAATACGTGCCCCCCCTGTATATGATCACACTGTTCTCCATATAAATATTTTTTGATCTTTACTTTAAACGCCGGCAAGCTCAACATTTTCAATGATTGGGGTAAACTATTATAAAATTTCGGTAAGTTGTAAGAGAATGATCGTTCAAATAATGTAGTGATATGCAGCGGTGGTGTCACAATACCCTTGCTTCGAATATTTAAGCTATCAGTGCGGAATTTAATCTTATCATACAAATAAGATGGACATTTAAGCAACAGTAACTTATGAAAAAATGAAACCATATGGTACATACGACGGTTACACATATTCAGCCATCCAAGATCGATCAGCCTGTGTGAGACATGGCACCCTCGTCGAAGCCCGAAAATCATTCGGAGACATGAATTCTGAACACGTTGAATCCTTTGTGATGTTTTTAAGTTCAGACAACTATGATATGTATCACAAAAGTTAAAATGGCTCAGCACTAAGGAATCGCAAAGCATAACCTAAAATATTCCTCATGCTGTATATGAGCTTCAAAGCAGCAAATGAGATTTTTGTTTTGTTCAGGATGTGCTTTTCGAACCTAAGATTAGAGTCGAGCTGTAATCCTAAATTTCTAGCACACTCCTTAACACCAATACATTCACCACCAATGTTGATTTTAAAATTTTCTGCAATAGAGTCTCGTGCACTCCGCCTCCCAAAGAGCATAACCACTGATTTATTTGAATTTACCCGTAACGAGTGTTTAGTGGATACATCTATCAAATTATTGATGTCCTCACTCAATTTAACTTGAGCAGTGGCCATGTCCGTAGGCAGGAACGATNGAAGGAAACGATGTAATGTGTGCTACTACTGCATTTATTTCTTCCTCCGTTTTTTTGTTTGCGGAAGATGTTTTGCCTCTTCCATCATTCGTAGTAATACCAGAAGTATTCTTCGTTTTATTTCTGATAGCCATTCTAATAAATTTCTCTTTTTCATCCGAAGTCCTGCAAAAACAGTCCTTGCATACAGATAACCTCTTGCCATTTCTTGCCACATTAACGTCTGAAAAATACGTTGTACTTTAGAAGAGTAATAATTACCTGAAAGTCCTAGAGCCAATTGCACTATATATTTACTTCTTTCACTCATTTCTGTACAATAACACTAAATTAATAATAAACTGAATTGCCAAAGCATGTTTGATATGAAAGACCTAAGTCAATTTAAGTCTTTAGGAACGTCTGCATAGTTTTAAATTGGTTGCTCAAAAGGGTTTATGTCAACTTACGATTATAATACCGAACAAGATAAGACGCGTTCTGACTTATAGCCTATAGACCGGTTTAAAATAGTAGCAGCAGTTGGTGTTAGACTTAAGCCCACAATACCAATCGAAGGGAAAAACAAACTGACTTAGCTCTGTTACTATATTGAAAAGTGCCATTTTGTGACTTAAGCCCTTTATACCTGACACTAGAAATATATACCAACACCACCGCCACGTTTGCTTGTAATTCTACGTTGGTGAATAAAATAATAATTTGGAATGTGACACGCTGTCAGCATAAAATCATCTGATATCCAAGTTCTGATATTCACATTGGCAAACTTAATCATAAGACAAGGCAGAACACTTTAGGAAAGCAACAAATATAACAAAGAGTAAACAGCAAACTAAATGCACTAATTAAACTAATTAATTCAACTATTCAATTGTGTAAGTACCAAGCAAGAACAAACAAAAAATACGCTATGTTTGAGATCTAATATGAGTTAACAATACGTTAAATAAAGAGTAGATTTCCTAAATCGACAGAAATAAAAATTGTAATTTTTGCATGAAAATATTATTTATAATCCGCTGAGGTTCGATGAAGAAAAGGTTAATAAAAATTAGAACAAATGAAGGATAATTCATGATAAAAGCGATAAATTAAAAAAAAATTATAAATAATAGTTTACTTGACTTTAGTATTTCAGGAAATTGTATTAATAGATATCGTAGAAAACGCGTCTTTTCGAGAATGAGGTTAATTTCAGCGTTTATTAAAAAAGAATGGTTGTCATTTATATATTTTGATGATTTAAATAACAAAAAAAAAGTAATTTTTAAAAGAAACATTGAATATTGCGAGGGCTCCGAGCGTAAACGGTAAATAAATTCTATAATTCCTAGTATTCCTTTTACGTATCTTACTCAGAAAACCTCTCTCTCGGAATCGCTCGGAATCGTTTCGACTTAGTAGAGAATTCTAGTTTCTACAGTTGGTATGAATCCCCTAATCTACGCGACTCGTGTTTCTTTCTGGTCGTTCTTAACAATTCCTTTATAAATATTTGTTGCTGAAGAAGAAAAGTTGTGAATAAATCGTTTAAATGATGTGTGGTGATTGATAATTAATTTTTTAAAAACAAAGTTTCATTGATCCCTATTTTTTTTATGACTTTTTGACGTATGCTGGTGGCGACACCTGGCAGAACACATTAGTCGTGTTGCATTTATCGGATATTGTGAATAAAAACAAACATTCGGGATAAATCAACGCGTGAAGAAGTAAAGTGATGTGAAACGCGTTTTATTAATTTCGCTACATCTTATTAATTTGTATTCGTTCGATACATATTGATTAATAAACCAGGGAAAGCCAGTTTTTTTTTGATCGCGGGGTTACGTATCTTGGATTCTAGGTATTTTGATTTGTGACAACCAAGAAAGTAAGTTTTTCTTATGTTTCTAATAATACTTTTGTTTTCCCTCGACCGTTTCTCGTTTGTTTCTCGCATCTTTCTTTTGTTATTAATATATTCATTTGAGATTGTATTTTTAATTTCGTTTTCTTTGGATAACCTTTTTTTTTGTTTTCTGAGAACGGCGACTCGGCCGTGCTGAATTTAGAGACTTATTTTATGCAATTCCGCTTCTAAGAACGGAGACTCGTGAATATATTAAAATATTTTACCCAACCAGAATAATATTATAAAATTGTTTTGGATTATTTATTATAGTCTTATTCTAATCCTCTTTGCAGTATTTCAAATACGAAAACAAGAAACGTCGTCGACTCCCGAGAATTGTTTACGTTAAATGACTACGCTTAAATTGATTTATAAACGATCTTAAGGGGTTAAATGTCATAACATATCAGTGAAGTAACCTAAAGAAATTGACGTCATATCGTTGGAAAGATCCATTTCAATTTGTTGATGTTTTTTATTGTACGTAAATTGATTTGGGTATTTCGATAAAAAAATTTGGAAATCATTAAAAACATTTAGTAATTGAATCATTTTATGTTTGTTTTTTGTATGGTGTGATATCGAATGGATTGGGAAAACCAGAAGATATGGAACACTTACAAATCTAATTTATTATTATTATTTTTTTTTTAGCACTCGGTGGGATGTTCTATGTATTAAGTATCATTAACAATATGTTCTATATTTCTTCCTTGTTGGAGATACCCAGAAACTAATTCATTTTGGAGTTGAATTTCTAACTCTATGACTCCAAATCCAGTATTTATTTATTTATTACATATTCAGTATGCATACAGGGAGAATATCCCCAACAAAACATCCTCATAATAAGTTATAACATTCTCTAAAAGAGCATAAAGACACCTCAAAGAGCTCTGGTTATAGTTATAATTCTAACTAATGGCGAATTTTGATAAAGGTTGCTGTTAGATACATTAAAATGAAGAAATGTGGCGTTGTAACTTGTAAGATCAGTTGCCATTAACAAATTTGAAAAGGAAGATCAAGTCAGAAACAACTCAACATTGCTGGAGAGACAATAAGTTCAAAACTACGCAACGCCTATTGTAATAGCAGTAAGGAAGATGAACTTTATGTGCCAAATAACTATCACAATACACCGCATATATGGGGTTCCATATTACAGAACCGTAACATAGCACACTAAATGCTAAGTAAAGGGATTTTATGCACAAAAAAATCGTAAAATTCTTACTGACTCTGATAACAAACCCCAAGTTATGTAGAGATTTCTTTACCATGAATCCTAAGTGTTGTTCACAATATTTGAGTCGACCGAGATTATTTTTTCCATAAACTTGTTAATGGTATCAATTAATGTATTAATGGAGTACAAGTACAAGTTTACCCTGCTTGCAGTTTATGGAAGAGATATCCACTTCGAAGACGTCGGCCGCCCTAAGTGTTGTACACGATATTTGGGGCGGCCGAGATTATTTCTTATATCATGAACATAGCTTGGGGCGGCCGACGTCTTCGAAGTCGGCCGAGATTATTTCTTCCATAAATTTGTTAATGGTATCAATTAATGTATTAATGGAATACAAGTCTACCCTGTTTGCAGTTTATGGAAGAGATATCTCGGCCGACTTCGAAGACGTCGGCCGCCCTAAGTGTTGTACACGATATTTGGGGCGGCCAAGATATCATGAACATAGCTTGGGGCGGCCGACGTCTTCGAAGTCGGCCGAGATTATTTCTTCCACAAAGTTGTTAATGATATTACTCGGGATTTGGAGCATCAAACTAAGTCTACCCTGCTTGAAGTTTATGGAAGAGATATCTCGGCCGACTTCGAAGACGTCGACAGCCCTAAGTGTTGTACACGATATTTGGGAGGGCCGAGATTATTTCTTATATCATGAACATAGCTTGGGGCGGCCGACGTCTTCGAAGTCGGCCGAGATTATTTCTTCCACAAAGTTGTTAATGATATTACTAGGGATTTGGAGCATCAAACCAAGTCTACCCTGCTTGAAGTTTATGGAAGAGTTATCTCGGCCGACCTAAGTGTTGTTCACGATATTTGGGGCGGCCGACGTCTTCGAAGTCGGCCGAGATTATTTCTTATATCATGAACATAACTTGGGGCGGCCGACGTCTTCGAAGTCGGCCGAGATTATTTCTTCCATAAAGTTGTTAATGGTATTTTTTAATGGCACTCGGTATTTGGAGCATCAAACTAAGTCTACCCTGCTTGGAGTTTATGGAAGAGTTATCTCGGCCGACCTAAGTGTTGTTCACGATATTTGGGGCGGCCGACGTCTTCGAACTCGGCCGAGATTATTTCTTATATCATGAACATAACTTGGAGCGACCGACGTCTTCGAAGTCGGCCGAGATTATTTCTTCCATAAACTTGTTAATGATATCACGCGGAATTTGGAGCATGAAACCAAGTTTACCCTGCCTGAAGTTTATGGAAGAGGTGTCTCGGCCGACTTCGAAGACGTCGGCCGCTCTAAGTGTTGTACACGATATGTGGGGCGATTATTTCTTATATCACGAACAATACATATATATTTTACTTAGGGCGAAATTATTTTAGAATATGGCAGATAATAGAATATTAAATGTTATCTATAACATTTTGTCATATTTCCAATAATAATCAAAATATTTGCTGAGGCAATATAGTAATAATAATTTGATGATGAATTAATTTTTTGGCATTTATCATAATTTAGGTATAGTTTGTTGAGACGACAGTAATCAAAATCCTCCTGTAGTCTAAGACAGTCCAGATTAGACCCGATCCTTGTGAATATTTTATTATCGTCGGAATAGAGTAAAAATACAAAAAAAAATTAAAACAAGAAGAAATATCGTTTATGTACATTATAAATAGTAAGGGTCCAAGATAACTGACCTGAGGCACACCGGATGTTCTAGGTTTGTAACAATGCTACCAATCCTGACCGCCTGATTTCTGTTAGATAAATACGACATAATCCAATGAACAAGACCATCTGGAATATCAAAGAAAAGTTTCTGTACAAGAATAGTATGATCGATTTTGTCGAAGTCAGTGTAGATTGCGTCAATCTGAGTATCCTCGTTTAAAGCAGAATGAATAAACAACATTTACATAGGAATTAACCCCAATTAAGCCAACGCTGTACACTTAATATCATATCAACCCAAACTGGTTAATATATTGCAAAGCGGTTTCGGCTAAACATAGTACCAAGAATCTTTAATTTTGCCTAATTATTAAGAAAGTATGTGATGTCGCTTAATTAACAACACTTTTACAATTAACATTAAGTCAACCCAAAACTTGTTAAGACAATGAAGCTATAGCCCAAGTATCATCTTTACAATTAATATCTGTGTCTTGGTGCAAAGAAATGTGGCGTTGTAACATGTAAGCCATTGTGGTACCTTGAAGCTCAACTCGGGCAGAAGATCAGGGGTATCCAGCATGCCATTAACAAGTTTGAAAAGGAAGATCAAGTCAGAAACAACTCGACATTGCTGTAGAGACAATAAGTTGAAAACTACGCAACGCCTATCGTAATAGCAGTAAAAGGAAGATGAAATTTATGTTCCAAATAACGCACAAAGCGTCTCTGAATAGCTTCAATACTATCATGATACACCGCATATATGGGGTTCCATATTACAGAACCATAACATAGCACACTGTTGACTAATGCTAAGTAAATAAACCCCAAGTTATGTAGAGATTTCTTTACCATGAATCCTAAGTGTTGTTCACGATATTTGGGGCGGCGAGATTATTTCTTCCATAAACTTGTTAATGATTAATTATCACTCGGTATTTGGAGCATCAAACCAAGTCCACCCTGCTTGAAGTTTATGGAAGAGATATCTCGGCCGACTTCGAAGACGTCGGCCGCCCTAACTTTTGTGACCTTAGCAAGGTTTTTGGTCTTGTAAATCATGACATTCTTACTAAGAAATTGAATAAATACGGAATAAGAGATAAGGCCTTTAACCTGCTAGTTTCATATCTGGATAAGCGACAACAACAAACTCACTGGAAAAGTGAAATATCGGAGTGGAAGAGAGTCGAAACAGGAGTTCCGCAAGGTTCGTTTCTTGGACCGATTCTTTTTTTGATCTACATAAATGATCTGCCGGATTTTGTAGTATCAGATTCACTCTGTCTTTATGCGGACGATACTTCCTTCATAAACGTGGAAAAGGATGTTGAAAAACTTCAGAAAGAAACTAATACAACAATGGTTAATTACAATTACAATTAAATAAAACTAAAACCAAGTTTTACAAATCAAAAGACCAAATTCCTTGGCGTGGTGTTTACGGAGACCTTGAGTTGGTCAGAGCACATATCTCGGCTTAAAAAGAAACTAACAACTTCAATATATTATTTTAAAGTAATGGTAAAAAACTTACCATCGGCTGAATCACGAAATGTGTATTTCGCATACTTCCACAGCATGCCGGTGTATGGCATAGCAATATATGGGGTGCTTCCAGTGACATAAAAGAAGTTTTCAAACTACAAAAGAAAGCGATAAGAACGCCAGTAGGTCAAACAAAATCAGAGTTGTAGAGGTCATTTTAAAACTAAAAATACCGACATTACCATCCTCATATATACTTACGTGTCTGGACTATATACACAAAAATAGGGATTTACTAATCACACTTACAGAGTCTCACCCCTACTGCACCAGACAAGGAGATGACATCAAACTTCCATATCACAGAACAACAAAATCACAAAAAAATTTCAACTATATATCTATAAAGTTATACAATGAATTATCACCCCATTTCAAAACATTGAATATGAAGAGTTTTAAGAGACAGGTCGAGAATATGCTCTTAGAAAAGGAATTCCACTCCATAGACGAATACTTTGCAGCAATGAAGATAATCTAATGAATACCGATTGAATATGCATCAAGTATATGCATATTCAATAAATTTATTATTATTATAAAAAGTCTTCGAAGTCGTCCGAGATTATTTCTTCCATAACGTTGTTAATGGTATCATTCGGGATTTGGAGCATCAAACCAAGTCTACCCTGCTTGAAGTTGATGGAAGAGATATTTCGGCCTTCGAAGACGTCGGCCGCCCTAATTGTTGTTCACGATATTGGGGGCGAGTTCAGGCCGAGATTATTTCTTATATCACAAACAATACGTGTTGCGAAATTATTTTAGAATATGGCAGATAATAGAATATTAAATGTGGAACAACTTTCCTTCTATAATATTTTGTCATATTTCCAACAATAATCAATAAAATATCTACTGAGACAATATGATGATGAAATCGCAATTTGGATTCCAATATAATGCCACGATCTTTTACTTTATTCGCGGACCGGATAGCAGTACCGTCAGAGTTGTAAGGAAAGATTCGAAGTAAATGTAATTTTTTGGCATTTATCATAATTTAAGTAAAGTTTGTTGAGGCGACAGTAATCAAGATTCTCCTGTAGTCTAAGACAGTCCAGATTAGACCCGATCCTTGTGAATATTTTATTATCGTCGGCATACAGTAAAAACTTAGAAAATTTAAGATAAGAAGGAATATCGCTTATGTACATTGCAAATAGTGATGGTCCAAGATGATTGCCCTGAGGCACATCTTATGTTATAGGTTTATAACCGGAGATAAATTAGACAAATCAGTTAGATAAATACGACATAATCCAGTGAACAAGACCATCTGGAATATCAAAGGAGAAAAGTTTCTGTACAAGAATAGTACGATCGATTTTGTCGAAGGCTTCGGAGTAGTCAGTGTAGATTGCGTCAATCTGAATATCCTCCTTTAAAGCAGAATGAATAAAGTTTACATAGGACAATACATTAGACTCCACCTATCGCTCAGGCAGGAAACCATGTTGTTATTATAATTAATATTTTGAAAGATGCGGCTCTGACTGCTTTTCCGTCTAAGACTGTTGCGATAAACAAACGGGATTCATTAAATATTACTTAGTTTAATTCTCAATTTATGCGGCATAAAGATACGCTTGCTTTTTTATGTGAATTATATAGACTTGATAAAGATCAACGCACACTAATTGAACGGAATAACAACAACAAGATTATTGACAAGATTATTGTAAATCTTAAAAGACAACCTGCAGCAATATGGAAAATAATTAACTCTAGTAATACTTCTGACAACTCTACCAAAAGAGTTAGCTGTTTAGATGCCGACCAGCTAAATAATTTCTTTTTAAATCTCCAGAGATAGACTGTATCACAATCTCTATTAAAATATCTTATGCAACTTAGAGTTAAGTCTGCCTCAAGTAATAGGAGCCAGGGAGATTGGTGGTGAGGGTGAGACAAGTGACAAGTGATAGGGATGTTTGAAAGAGGCTAAAGTCTAAAATGGGACTGTAGCGTTGTGAGAAAGAGAGAGTTAAAGTAATAGCATATAAATTAACCCCAATTAAGCCAATGCTGTACACTTTATATCAAATCAACCCAAACTGGTTAACATATTACAACGCCTCAATTTTCACGAATGTTAATTCCGTTTTTACAGTTTACAGTTTGTTGTTGAGAAGTGTATGTTGTTTATATAACATGTGTTTACATTTTCTGAAGTGAAGAAGTAATTTTTCTCAGTTGTGGTTAATTAATAAATAGTTTATAAACATTTATAGCTATGTAAATTCCGTACGTACATATGAGATCACTGTGTTGTTTCATACATTTAAACCTAAAATCACGTTTTTAAGTTAATCCCAAAGGAAAGAGCAGCAATATAATTATTCTGCTTATAGGAGGTGGGATATTAGTTTCGTTGTACCTCGGGACATGTCAAAAACTACAACATGGTATATTCATGTGTTATTATCTATATTTTTGGTAATAATGTAAGTAATAGCTATTCTTCGTTATTCTTCCCAGAACAATGCCTGCAATAGATGTTGGCGCATTGGAAAGAGCTGTGAAGGAGGTTACAGATACCAATGCAAAAGTGTGAATTGTAGCTGAAATGTTTGGAATTTACAAAACTATTCTTTTTCGTTATGTCTCCTTACACCGGTCACAAATTGAGAATAATGCACAGGAAAATTCAAATAATACATCAAAAAATGATATTCAAAAAGTGTTTTCTGTTAACAAAGAACTCTAGTTAGTCGATTATTATTTACATGCAGCTCGACTTCACCAACCAAATAGTTGGACTGGAAACCAGACAGTCGGAGAAATGTGTTAAGAGATTTAAGAAAACGGCATACAAATTTGAGCTTTAATCGGCAGACTATGTCATCTAGGACATTCTAGGAAGTGTTACATCCAGTGAAAGAGGAATTAACATTCTACATGCTTATTGGAGGATCCATTGGCGGCGTAAATCCATCTGTATGGTCTAATGAAAGCCTTTTGACTATTAAGCCTTGATAATCAGGAATCGCATATTTTGATTCCAGCGATTAGCTTAACAAAGGAAAATTGTAATGCTTCGCACAAGCTTCCATCGTGCAGTGTTTGACTCTTACCAATCCTCTTATAATGCTGCCTTAAACAGATGGCTACTAGAACATGCTGGAAAATTTACTAAATCTTTTACTAAGGAGAATATTGAATTCCCTTCAATGACCAAGAGATTAGAGATGACACTTCAGGAGGTGATATCATAGCAGTCAAGATGACAAAGTCTTAAGCGTGGAGTCTAACAGTAACTTTTTTGCAATTTATGCTGGAACGAGATGAAGAGTATGATGTCCTCATGAAAGACATTATTGGAAAACTTCCACCTTCGGTCATTCAAGGCTCTTAATTTTTAATATTAATACCAAGTTCGATTTAAGAGTTACTAAATCTGCCAGCTCTTCTTCTCTTAGTTCATAATCATGTTCCTCAAGCTCTTCAATATCTATGTTGCAAATCCTTTGCTGATGTGACAACTCTTGGCCAGATTTTCCTCCAGCAACCATTCAATGTGGTTTGGTGATAAAATCCGAAATATATATATTTCGTAATATTACAACACATTCTTATTCACTTTTCCAACTTATTCCGGGATTAACAAATAACCTGATAATGTTACCATTCGATTTGAGATGTTTTGACGCACATCAATAATCATTTTCTAGTATGTTTTAATCAGTTCTCGACTTAATTATGCGAAATCATACATTTATAATACACCAAAAGTTTACTCGACCTTTGCACCTTTGGGTGTTAATATTAATAATAGAGGAATGAATTTGTATTTAACACTATTCCTAAACAATAATATGTAACATAAGATAAATAAATAACTTGCTAAATCATTTCCTTTTTCATTCACAAAATTATTTTAAATTAGATTTTCTAAGAAATAAATAAGTTATGGGTTATCAATGATTTTTTACAATATTTATAAACCAACGTAATTTCTGAGAATCATTTCATTGATTAAAAATAGAAATTAAAACAATTTTGACGCGAAAAAATCATATCAGCATACCGTTATCGTCTAAACGAAAGTTTGAAATTTTAGACTATCACTTTTAGGAATTGATTTATGTTTTAACAAATTGTTTTGTTTAATAAATTTCGACTAATAATTTCCATTCTTATTTCAGGTGAAATATGGTTAGGTTCGCTAAAAACTAACGTCAACATGTGGTTACAAAAAATTTTCGTTTTTACCTTAATAATTCTTAGTATTATTTACGGCTCATATGCAAATGACGACAAAAATGGATGTAAGTATTTTGTTAACAAAAAAAGAATTTTTTAATTTTAATTTTTTTAAATTTTTTTCATTTTTTTTTACAAACAATTACAGATTCCATACCGACCGGTGATTTAAATTTAGAGTACGGAAAAGATGAAATAAACGTAACATGTGTCATAACGAATGAAGAGGTGAAAGAACAAAGAATGCGAGATCCTAGTAGTTTGAATTTCACCTTCTGTATTGGTAAAGATTTTGTTCCAGAAAGTCAGGTAATATTAATGTTTGAACTACAACTAATACTAGAACTAGAATATTGCAAGTTTTAACACTAGACCTAGAAATAGAAACATTCGTGTTTCTTATTATCGATTATTAAATCGATTGCTTCTTCTGAAAAGGTTGTAAATAAGCTGACAAATCAGCGGGTTTTCCTTTGCCATAATAAATACCGTGTTGTATACAGAGTGTTTCTGTATTGTGGCATAATTTTAATCACAAATATTAGAGTAAAAATGATTATGATTCGTGTAAAAATTTTTGATTTAAACCTATAAATGGCTTCAAACTTAAGAAATGTTCAAACATTTTCTTAAATATTTTCAATATGGTTTATCTTAGAAAGACTAAATTTGGCAAATAATGTAATGTTATCATAAGAAATCGTTTAAAATCACTATTGAAAATATCGAACCACGGGATCAATGCTATACAGGATGTTCACAAAGGTTATTTCTTTAAAAAATTTTTATTGTCATAAACCTTTAAATTTTCCATCTGATTCTAAAAGTCTATTTCATTTTAAAATTATTTTCACTCTTAGACATTTTTGATTATACGTATCGTTTTCGAGATATTTGCAAAAAGATACAACCTCGATTTTGGAATATTTATTATTTGGAAATGTAAGACAGAAGTATGGAAATAACGGGAATTAGAGCATTTTGGATTTTGTGGCAGATCGTAATACTGATAGTACGTTGATAGCAACAGTTTAGACATTTCAGAATTTTCTGATCATCCGTTGCAAGAATGTACAGTGTTGCCATACTGTGGTGAAAAAATTACAGAAATTTACAAAAAAAAAAATTACAGACAATAATTAATTTGGGAAATGCTGAAGAATAATTGTACTGAAGAAAATCCAGATTTTATGCTACGTTGAGTAATAATTTCCGGAATAACGGTCGGAATTAAAATCGAATCAGTGCAAAAAAATGCAAACATTTATTTAAAATATCATAGCACCAGTTCTATTTACACTAGAATTATAAAACAAAAACGGCAAGAAAGACAATACAAATACAAATATATCCATACTTATTACAAAATAAAAATATATACCGGGTCATATGGGAAACTTTTGTCTATCAGATTAGATAAAATATTAGTCGTAAAAAATTTTTTTTTGTGTATTGGTGGAATGATTACATTCCAAAACCCTCCGACAGATGCGCTATTCGCAAAATACCGCTTATGATATATTTTCAACTTTTGCTTACAACTTTTTTATTTTTGAAGATATCGAAAAGGTGTCTTGACATTATTGTGACATTTTTTTACATATATTTCTAAAATATTACTTAGATTCTTATAAAGTTTATAGGAATGCCTATTACCGTTAAGTTTCCCATATAATGCTGACTTTTTGGGAGACCTGTATACAGCCTGATTCAGAGTAAGCGCCTTATTTTTTTTTAGCCACACTATGGGTACTAATTTCAAAATATTTGGCAATAATATGTTTTAGGACATTCTCTATACGAGGGTGATTTTCAATTGGACGAATTATTTCAAAACGGCAACTGTCAACTTTTTTTTTTAAATGGAATGCCAACATTTTTTTTTTATTATTCAGATCCTAAAAATTCATTTCTTTCCCCATCAAAAAGCAACCTAACATTTTAATCTAGTAGCGCATAAATGTTAAACACTCGATGTTATTTTAGTCCAAATAAATAAATAAGTAGATGTTTGTTACAAAATAAAGTTTAATTGTTTCTTTTGTGTCTAGCGCTACTTGATATTTGGACAAAAATAACATCGAGTGTAAAACATTCATGCGCTACTACACTAAAATGTGTGCTTTTTGATGGGGAAAGAAATGAATTTTTAAGAAAAACAAAATACTATTCGTATAAAGAATGTTTTTAGGATCTCAATAATAAAAAAAAAATTTTGGCATTCCATTAAAAAAAAAGCAGCCATTTTGAAATAATTCGTCCAATTGAAAATGTGATATCACCATCGTGTAGAGAATGTCCTAAAACATATTACTGCCAAATATTTTGAAAGTAGTACTCATAGTGTGGCTAAAAAAAAATAAGGCGCTTACTCTGAATCAGGCTGTATAATATAACAAAATAAAGAAAGTATACATTTAGTATCTAAATCATGCGAGCTGTATATTGTTTATTTACAGTTACACTACACTATACTATACTAGTTTGTTTATAATACACATATCGTTTATAGATAATAGATTATAATTTCACTAAAGTGTGCCATTTTTCAAAACAGTCAACCACGCACAGACCGACATTGCATTTTTTGCAATAATAAGATGTGCGTTTACGTATTTTTTTGAAGAACACACACGACGTCTTTGTTTGTATTTTGAGGGCCAATGTTTTGATTGTTTCTCAGCAAGGTGAGATAGTTGTCCTGCAACAAGATTTGTATTGTCGGCTTCAATAATCAAATTGCGCACTAAATTTTCCTCCAACTGATTTTTGCAGCAGATACGCATTCAGAATGGTTATACAGGGTGTTTCGGTGACTCGGGGAATAAATTTAGCCACATATACTAGAGTGAAAATGATGACGATTCATGTAAAAAAAAATTAGTAAAAGTCTTCAAATTTCAAAGATACAGGCCATCAAAGTTACGAAATTTTAACACACTTTTCCAAATATCTTAAACACTATTTACAGCAAAGCGCTGAAATTTGGTACAGTATAAATCAATGTCATGTAAAATCTGTTAAGCAATTTATGAATTGGATCTGTTCGCGGGAACAATGCTATACAGATTGTTCCTAAAGTTTGTTTGCCCAGAACTTTTTTATTCTGTCATAACCCTACATTTATTTTTGCAGTTTCTAATAGTAAATTTAGTTTAGAAACTTTTATTACTCTTAGATAACATTGATAAAAATCACCATTTTCGTGTGAAATGCAAAAATGTTGGGTTCCGATTTCAATAATAGCACTAAAACAAATTTTTGAACATTTCCTTTAGTATTTTTTATTACTTATCTTGTTATTTTATGTACTTTTTTTATTATTCCTGTTAGTGTTGTCGTTTTTTTTTGTTTATTTTTTGTTGATTTTTAATTTATTGTTTTTGAATTCTTTTATTAAACCAACTAAAAGAAATTAAAAATGTGATTTATCTAAATCTACACTTGGACATGTTGCATACATAATAGTTATGGCAGCTGAGTTCGATTTTCACTTGTCATTGCCAATTCAGATTATTTATTTATTTATTTATTTTAGTGTTATTGAATTCGCAGCCTAACATTTTTGTATTTAATACGAAAACCGTGGTTTTTATCAATGTTATCTAAGAGTAATAAAAGTTTCTAAACTAAATTTACTATTAGAAACTGCAAAAATAAATGTACGGTTATGATAGAATAAAAAAGTTCTGTGCGAACAAACTTTAGGAACAGCCTGTATAGCATTGTTCCCGCGTAGCGATCCAACTCAAAAATTGCCTGATGATTTTCTGTGATATTAGTTTACACTGTACCAAATTTCAACGCTTTACCATAAATAGTGTTTAAGATATTTAGAAAAACGCGTTAAAATTTCCTAACTTTGATAGTCTGTATCTTTGCAATTTGAGGATTTTTACTAATTCTTTTTTACATGAATTGTCCTCATTTTTACTCTAGTATATGTGGTTACATTTGTTCCCCGAGTCACCGAAACACCCTGTATATAGTAAATCGAAAAATAATTTTTTTGTCCATTTCCACGTTCGCCTGCTAATTCCATAACTATTGGCCATTCTGTCTGACTTGTCAACATACCCCATATGTTTATTGTAATCTGCAATTACATGAGGTTTTATAGCATTGCCAAAATTATGCACAAAATTTCCTTGTATTGGAGGCGTGTGCATATTTGTTAGTAAATAGACATCTCGTTTGTCTTTCCACCGAACAGCAGATAGATTTTTCCTCACTCGCATAACAATGTCCCTTTTTTCAATTTTAAAAACTTTGGCCAATATCTTGGGGAATTCCCTTTCTATTATATATAACTGTTCCGCACGCATTTATTTTTTGCTCCAGTAAGTCATCAAATAGTAACGGGGAGGAAAAGTAATTATCCATAAATAGCTTATGGCCAACACCTTCCACTCTTCTACCTAGTCGAAGTACAGTGCGTTGCCGTGATTTCTCCATTTGCCAGTTGACTTTGTTTTCCTAAATAAACCGACATATCAAATGTGTATCCTAAACAATCGCAAAGTTTGTAAATTTTTATTCCTACCCTCCCTTTGAATAGCACTATCACTTCATTGACCGCAATATTTTCTGTTGGGTAATAGAGTTCGCCGAATTTATTGTTTTAAGTATTAAACACTGTTCTGATTTTCCACAGTCGGTCATAATCCAGGTCTTCTCTATTTGGAGGATCACTGTTGTCGGCAAAATGAAGAAAACGCAAAATATGAAAGAAACGGTCGTTCCAACTAACTTGTGTTTATTCAAACAAAAAGATAAATATAAATATGTCATAAGCATAGTAATAGATAAATACTTATAAATAGATAAAGACTTTGTTGTGCTTGTTTATTACTGCACAATTTATCAATATCTGGATGAATCAATGTTAATTGGAGACGCATCAAGTCGATTTCTGCACTTCGTTTTTGTAGCATTTTGTAGTATTCTTTTACGGCGCGTTTGGAAATTTCCGGATATCCATCCAATAATTTTATCCAAAATGGACCAATGCCATCATATGCAAATGTAGATTTTAATTAACCTTCCTTAATTGGGAAGGTAGATTTTCAACCCAACTTAAATTATTGCAAGTAGGTGGAAAATATTCTGGTCGAATACTAGACTTATATAGGTTGCTAAGAAATCGTTTAAATTAGCAAAACATTCTGTACTATTTTTGGTGATGCATTCCTCCCAAAGCGTAAGTGTAAATTTTATCGAGTTTACTTTGCTTGTAGTGTTTGGCCCTCGAAGTGAAAGATTAACGTCGTTCAGATACTAAAATATGTCCGCAAGGTTGGCTTTATTTTGACACCAACTAATGTCATTAATTCATGATGTGGATCCTTGTTATCAATATATGTATATAAAAATAATTAAACTTATATTTATGCTTTTATTGATATGTTAAGTTTTACACTTTGCCTGACGCGTTTCGGCGATCTACGCCATCTTCGGAGGCTTTCGTCCTTTTTGGTTATGTTATGTAGTACATAAAAATATTGGTTTCTTTTTTATGTGGTAAAGTTAAGATGCTTCTTGCAGGGATTATTTTCAAACATTAACATTTAATGGGCTGGATTACTACTTGTTTTTCTCGGGAGCGAACAAATTGCAGAAAATGGCGTGCTAGCTATTCAGTCAAGACTGTTCGAAAGCCTCCGAAGATGGCGTAGATCGCCGAAACGCGTCAGGCAGAGTGTAAAACTTAATATATCAAGAAAAGCATAAATATAAGTTTAATTATTTTCATAATGTCATTAAGTTTTCTAGCAAATTCACAGTTAAAAAGATACGAATTTCATCAAGCAATTCCTAGAATCGGGTTAGAATCTTTTCCTTCAATAACCATCTTACATCAGTATGAAGAAGGAGATTTTTATGGTCATCACACAATAGGGTAAATACCCTGGGTCTGGATTTGATGAAATTAACCAATTTAACGGCGTCATTAAGAACTTCTTGCTGGTATCCGTTTAAGAGCGAGAGCATGGCGATGAAGACAGCTTTGATGTCTGAAACTAGTTTCTTTATACGTGTTATTACGCCCTTTACGACACCAACCATACCTTTGGTTCCATCATCACTACATACAGCGTGTCCCGTATCTTCCGCATCATAGGATTATACGGTTGTACGATACATTATTCTGAAGCGATCTTTCTAATAAATTTTATTATATTGTTTATTTATTATTTGTTATTAAATTTTATTATAACCGCAGAGGAACTGTTTAAACGAACTGTTTTTCGTCCAATCAGCAGATATCAGCAGTACTTACCAATAGATTCGTCACGGAAAGAGAAATAAACTTTGTCGGTGAATCAAAGTCGTCCGTTATTGGTCGTCGTTAAACACTTCCCGTGCGGTTATTATAAACATTTCGAAAAAATTTTATTAGAAAGATCGCTTCAGAATAATGTATTCTACAACCGTATAATGCTCTGATGCGGAAGATACAGGACACGCTGTATATGATGGCATAAATTTCAAGAAATTGAATATTTTTCAAAGTTTAAGTAAATTAAATATTTCTTCACATGTTGTTTGAGCTGGCAAAGTAGCTCATAGTAGTGTAGATTCATCCATTTGTAAAGTAAAGCCATCTTTAGCGTCTTTCAAACCATTCACTAGTTCCGCTTCGCAGAAATCTGACATGTCTTTAATTCGTCGTGAAATCGTCGTATCAGATAATGGGTCAAGGTCAATTTTGCTTGCAAATTTTTCATCAATCATGGATGTGATTAAATCTTTTGCACAAGGTTGGTTCAATACATTTTCTTTTAAAATATTCGCTTTTTCCAAATGACGCTTTAACTTTGCAGGATTTAAACTGCTGTCGTTCATATATTACACAAAACCCATTTGGCTCATTTTTATCGCCAATCCAAGTAAATCCAATATTCATATAGTCTTCATCATACTTTCTTTTTTTTCGGCTTGTTAATCCGGACTTATTTTCTTCTTCACTGTTATCCCTTGGGTTTTATGTTGGCGAAAAAATGGTCGAACAAGAACCCCTAAAGCGTTTGAGTGGAACCCTAGGATTCCGCGGAACACAGGTTGAAAAACACTGCTGTATAGCATTGATCAAAAATGATCTTAAACGATTTTTAATGATAACATGGGTAACACGGTTCAATAATAATTTAAAGCCATTTCTGTTTTGTAGTAAGATCTATCATAACTTAAAATCAACTTAAATTATTTTGTACTTCTTGATTTAGATTCCTACCGGTTTCGGTTTATTAAACCATTATCAAGGTAATCACGTCAGTTATACTAAAAGATCAACAACATAAATGAATGAATACTGGACATTATAAACATCGACTTAATACAAAAATATTATTAACACATTAAAAATATTTAAGAAGAGGTTTATAATGGCGGGAACCTTGATACCGGTTTAATAAACCGAAACCGGTAGGAATCAAAAACAAAATAAAAACATCAAGAAGTACAAAATAACAAGTTTTATTGGATTTTGTTATATAATCTTGATGAATAATGGAAAATTTACAACAAACTATCATAACTTAATAAGTTAATGAATTTCTCCATTGTCTTCAGGTGAATTATAGTAATCGGTGAAAATAATACAGAATGTATTTCTGAAGATTAAATTTTATTTAACCTTGTATATATATATATATATATACTATGTATATAAATGTATATATATATATATAACCTTGTGTTTAACCTTTTATTTAATACTTGTTTTTTGACATTCGTACAGCGGTGTTGATGAAGATTTATTGTATAGTCAAAAAAGAATATTTTGTAATAATTTCGAACATCCTAGTTCTAAAAACTTTGCATCTGCAATTGTTTAAATGTACAAAGGAATTTTTAATAGGTTTTAACGTTTATTTTGTATAATTTGACAAGTGAACACGACATAACTTCTAAGGGCCGCATTCAGAGACGATTCTACATCATGTAGATTCTACAATTGTAGACCAAGAATCGGTTCGGACGAGCTCGGCATCTGGGCGATCGACGTCGTCTCGACTCACGCTAGGCGTATAGCAATTGATAGCAATGAATCTATCACACTTTAAAGAAAGCGTTCGTATGTCTCGTTCATTTTTCGAAATGAGAAAAAAATTATAATTAAAAAAAAAAAGATTTTACTTTTAAAACCATATTTTTTATTATGTTATTAGTATTAACAGCAGAATATTTTAATTTTTATTATACTTTTTGTTTAAATTTAACACTCCATGGGTATTAGAATAATATGTAGAACACATATTTAATAAAACAGATAAGAAACCGAAGATTCTATCCTTCACAATTTATTTATTTACATATTTGTTTTAATTCTGTATATCTTGTAGTTTTTCGATAGTGTTTGTGGTTTTGTTGTAATAAGTGTAGGTACTTTGTTTTCATTATTATATTCGGTATATATATATTTTTTTTTTAAAGTTTAGTGTAATTTTAATTATTTTTGTATTTTCGTAGTGTAGCCTATTATTATTTCTTTGTTTTATTTCTACTTTTGTAAAGTAATTAATATTAATTTTTATTAATTTTTACTGTTTTGTAGTGTAGGTATTTTTCATATTGGATTTCTTTTATTTATTTTTAGGTGTTTACTATTACTTTTAATAATTTTTTCTTTTTGTAGTGCAGGTGCTATTTATATTTTTTGAGTTTTTTTTATTATTAAGACGACGATTTTAACGAGTTCATCGAACACATATATGAAGACCAACTTTTAATATATTTTTTTGATACTTTTTTTTTAATAATATTATTTTTGTGATGTTTGAGTACTTACCTGTAATTTTGAGGAGTATCTTCACATCAATGATATTGATACCCGATATACAGAATTACAACAAATATGTAAATAAATAAATTGTGAAGGATAGAATCTTCGGTTTCTTATCTGTTTTATTAAATATGTGTTCCTACATATTATTCTAATACCCATGAAATGTTAAATTTTAAACGAAAAGTATAATAAAAATATTGTGTCGTTAATATTAATAACATAATAAAAAATATGGTTTTAAAAGTAAAACAATTTTTTTTAATTATAATTTTTTTCTCATTACGAAAAATAAACCAAACATACAAACACTTTCTTAAAGTGCGATAGATTCATTGCTATGCACCTGGCGTGACAGATTCTCGGTCTACAATTGTAGAATCTACATGATGTAGAATCGTCTCTGAATGCGGCCCTAAGAATCTTCTCTGTAACATAATAAATAGAAGTGACATGCCTCCAAGTTTTCTTCAAGAATTGAATTCCCTTTTGACGGTAAATACTTGTTAATTGATTTAATGCGTTTTTGTGAAATTTTCAATACATGTTTTTTAATTCGTAGCGAACAACCTGAAGACGATTATAGAATAATCGAAACCGGTCGTTGAGAACAAAAATTTTTTAAATAAAATTTAATCTTCAGGAATACATTCTCATAACTTGTTTGTGTGAATACAGATTATTCTTTTTTTTTTTTGGAGCTATATATTTTATATCGCAGTTTCCAAACGCACTGTAAAATTTGCTTAAACTTCAGTTTTTAAATGTAAATATAAAACTAATTATTAATTTTTTTTTATTTAGATAATAAGAATAAATGAAACTGTTATAAGGTATGTAAATAAAAGTCCTAAGATGATGAGTATGTTTTTGGGTTGTGTCTACTACAATTACTCGATTGCATTGAATAGTATAGTAGTTGGATGTAAGTTTAATTGAAAAAAATAATTAATTTTTTGTAATATTGAAATTTATTCAAACAGCTAAACCGCATAACGTCACCGACTTTGATTGTATCGGCTACAATTTGGAGAATTTAACGTGTAGTTGGACTCCGGATTCGAAAGCGCTATATGCTGTAAAGTATACGTTAACCTATTATTATAATAACAAAACGCAGCGTACAACAGAATGTGGTGAATATACGAAAGAAAATAATAAAACTTTGTGCGTTTTTTCCACAAGGAAACAACCTTATTATCGACCATCGCACGATATAATTTATTTTATTTTGAACGGTTCAAATTTCCTTGGTGAGAATATCCAAACGTTCGAAATCGAACATTATAAAAAAATCAAAACCAGCCCGCCGGCTAATTTACGAGTGGAGAACTCCACGGTATCTTCGTTGTATTTGTCTTGGGATATACCGGATAATATGGTTAAAACTCACGTTTCTTTGGAACACAATATTACTTACACGTTCAATAACAAATATTTTTATATGGGCAAGGTGTTTAGCACAAGCTGCGATTCGAAGCGAATTTACGCTAATTTAACCGATTTACCCTATGCTTATGTTTTGTACAACGTCAGGGTTTATATGAGATTGAACGACACCGATGCTACCGATATGTGGTCAAAAAAGGCGTTTATAATTCATTTAACAAACGGAGCACGTAAGTCTTTATTAATTTATTATTATGATTAATCAAAATAATTTTTGTATTTTTTTTAAGTGCCGGGTGCCCCAATCGCAAATAGAAGAGCGTTTTATAACGAAGGATTACGTGTCGTTATTTATTGGAGTCAAGTGGATGCTTTGTATAGGAACGGGGCAAATTTAACTTATATCGTTTATTGTAAAACGAAAAGTTATGATTTGAATGTTACAACAACAAACGGGTACTACGAATTAAATAACTTGAATACGAATCGCGAGCACATATTTGAAATTCGTTCGGAAAATCATGTTGGGAAATCTTTAAATTATTCTGAAATTGTAATACCGCCTCTATATAACCCCGAAATGGAAATGGATTCTCCTGTTTTAAAAGAGTATTCGGAGACAAAGTATGGATTATCCTGGTCACCACCATCTAAAGGGGCGGAACATTTGGTAAATTACACCGTCTATTGGTGTGAAAGCTCAAAGCGGGCACAATTTCATCTTTGCTCAAATATCGAATGGGCAACGGTACCGGCAAATGAAACCAGCTATATCATTCCGGTATTTCGCACTAATAATATCGACATGGCAATAAGTGCGAACGGTAAACGAGAGAGTACATCCATGAAATGGTCGCAATGCGTGGTACGTCACGACGATAATTTATTACATAAACCATCGTTTGAGTTAAACGACGCAATACCATCAACTACATCAATAACTATCAGTTGGAAATTAAGATGTATGGAAATAAGCAAAAAAATTAAAAATTATGTTATTGAATATTGTGAAGTGGCGTTAGTACAAACATGTTTAAACCCGCAAAAAGTAATAAGAGTACCTATGAGTAGCATTAAAGAGACGTCTTACACCATTAAAAATTTAGAATCATATACAACATATAGAGTAGGCGTTTACATGGAAGATTCCGACGGGAGTGCTAGTCTTAGTAAACAGACGTATGTTACAACTTTAGAAGGAAGTAGGTTTCTTAATTTTTAGTCACAACACAACAATTAAATTAATTAATTTCTTATAGGACCACCTAGACCTATCAATTTAAATATTACAAAAGTAACAAACAATTCAATTACATTTGAGTGGTCTCTTCCACAAAAACCCATCAGTAAAGTAATTCGTGAAATTAAGGTGAAATACAACAACCTCTATAAAAATGTCGCTCAAGCCATTCAGACCGGGACTGACGATTCCGTTCAAACACAAAACTTTACCTTAACAGATTTACTAAGTTACGAAACTTATAATATATCGATTTCGGCTTGTATTGACGAATGTTCAGACTATTCAGATGTTGTTTCTGCGAGAACTAAAGTTGGACGTAAGTTTTTTTTACCAAAAATTTAAATTATTATTAATTTTTTTTTATCTAGAACCGAGCCGCATCGATAAAGTTAATTATTACTCATTAAATACATCCATAACTTGGGAAAAACCGATACAACCTGCTGGAACTATCGATTATTACGAACTAGTAGTGAGTTTAGACGAAAAACCTTTACACAAAGATCCGCAACGCGTAAATACAACGATGCATATTCTAAATAAATGTAGTGATACCTCACCCTATGGAACCGTTTCTTATAAAGTACGTGCAGTTAACATTGGAGAAGATGGGGAAATATATATGGGAGATTGGAGTAAAGAAGATAGACAAAGATGCCAGAAAGTTAAAGATTACACTGTTACTATTGCTATTAGTTTTGCATTGTTTCTTATTTTGATTATGGGTTTCGTTTTCGTCGTTTTTGGAAAAAAGTAAGTATCATATATAATAGCACATTAAACTTAGTGTGTAGAGTATTTCATAAAAACTTGAATCTGCATTAATCGTCGAAATTGTTTTTGCCGATTTTAAATTCGAAAGCTTATTCTTTGGCCAATATAAAAGTGGAAATCAATTCTTTCCCATTAACCTTGTACACTCCTAATTGGCGCAGAACTTGATAGAAATACACAACATTCTTAACAAAATTTATTTAGGGGTTTGAAAGGTTAAGAAACAATAGAAAAATAATAAAAACTCATTTTAAAATAGAAGAATGTTTTGTTCAGTCATTTTACATAAAAATGAACCAAATGAAAGTTGTTCTGTACGAAAGGGGAAACCAACAGCAATAACATTTTTTGACCTTGACTTTATTATCAAGGTCATATGAAGGTCACGACCAATTTTTTAAATGGCACACCATGTTTTTGATTGCAAAATCTGAATCTATGGATAAAAGTAAAATAAGTAATAATAAGATTACCGCGATAAACATTATCCTTAAGAACTAAAGTAATTTATTGAGATACACGACCAACACGACAAGGCTAGATAATTGAAAAAGGCTTCCTTTTATCTTTACCAAAGTTCGGAAATTTTATTTGAACTGAACCAAAGTTAAACATGAGGTCGCAAAAATTGAACACTAGACATCTTTTTTTATAACTATACTTCTCAAAATTCACAAAAAGTGATGAATTAGAGATCAAATAATACTAAAAACTTTTTAGAGGGTTAATTAATAAAAGGAATAATTAAAAGGAAGCCTTTTCCAATTATCTAGCCTTGTCATGTTGGTCGTGTATCCCAATAAATTACTTTAGTTGCTAACAGTAACGACCGTTACTACTCCTAAATTATCCTTAAGGACTCCCCACAAAAAAAAATCAAGAGGTGTTAAATCACGTGATCTGGCAGATCAGGAAATTGGACCTCCCCTTCCACTCCATCGCCCAGCATAATCCTGATCTAAAGCTTCACGTGCAATATGTGAAAAATGTGCTGGACATCCATCATGTTGCTCAAATCTACAAGTAACCTTGGTAAGATGTCATCTAAAAAATTTTGGTACTTCTCCCCGTTCAGCATACCATCAATAAAGTATGGACCGATTAATTTATCACCAATGTTCGACTTCACGCAACCATCTCCGATTTTCAACGTTCCAAAGTAGACTCATCCGAGAATAGCACGTTAATACGATAATTCAAGCAATTAAGTCTCTGAAAGCGATATTCTGAAAATGCCGACATAAGCAGTTCCACGAACTCTTGTTTTTTATGCGTTATTATATTATCAAATTGACAAAAGCGGGGAAATGTCGAAACCTTTTAGGCCTCTTTCCAAAGGTATTTCCGACGATTCTTAAATAGTATTCTATGAATCAAGAACTAAAGATAATGTATCGAAGCGGGTAGGAAAATGTTTAAAAAATCATCAATCTTATTTGTTCTTGCTAGATTATAAACGTTAGTTAATTCTTGAAGAAAGATGTTTTGCTGTTGTACTGGCAAAACCACACAGTAAAATTTTTTTATTTTACAATAATTAATAAATTGTTCGTGACCTTCATATAACCTTGAAAATAAGGTCAAGGTCAAAAATGTTATCGCCATACGGTTTCCCCCTTCGCACAGAACAACTTTCATTTGGTTCATTTTTATGTAAAACGAACTGTTTTCGAGATAATCGTTTGTCTCACGTTAAATGGACCAGCCTGTATAATGTAGACATTTTTTGATGTCAGCGATTTTTTTGTCATTATTTGGTAGAGCCAAGGTGCCACAGTTTACTTTTCTCAGTGTAAAAGTGCGCTGAAGCAATTCACAAATATACTGAAAAGCTTTTACTTTATTTGGTTCAGTGATAATAAACTGATGCATGGAAGATAACTTGAAGCTTAGTTTGTCTTCTTTTTTGACGTGCCTTCTATAACTCTCATCTGCAATGCATGATTTCTTGTAAAATGTAGGCCGCCACTTTTATTGTATTAATCTTCCTGTTTTGCTTGAATTTTTCATTAATACCTCATATTATTAGGCGTATAGTTTTGGGTAAAAGTTTCTTAACTGCTCCGAAGTCTCTGTCACAGGGTAAGGATGAATGGCCCCTGACTTTTTTGAAGATTTTCAGTTCCACTAAGGCCATACACATTTTTAGCAATATATGATTTTAATTTTGTCCACTACAACCGTCGGAAAAGAGGAGAAGATTTTCTTGATCATCTCTCTTATCTTATCTTGTCTGTTAATATAACTCAGTAATAAATGCATGTCTCTTTTTTTTTTAAATTGTTCGACTGCATTAATTCGATATTTTGTCTTCTACGCCTAATATTTCTTTTTTCGATAAGTGCTGTCAAAAATAAATCTTGTACATCCTTGTTTGGTAATTCATTAAAGTCTTGAATGATTTGCATAAAATCGTTATTGTCAGACTTCAAGAAACATCCAACTTTGCAATTGCCGTTTGGGCCTGTCGATCTGGAAGCGGCAGTTTTTCCTGAAATCAGAAGTCAACTTATTTTTGCATACAACACTATACAGTCTCTGTTGCCGAAGAAAGGAAGTTGTAAAAAAGAGCCATGTGATTCATATGTCCCGTACCTGTCTTACATAGTACCAGATTTAAAGACAGCCAAATCTACACTATCAGTTTGAGCTTGGAACTCAGTTTGTACATATTATGTGGGACCAAGTATACTGATCATTTTCCGCCATTAACTTCATGTTTTCAAAAAATGCCAGATAACCCCTTTTTACATCTGCCGATTGAATTGAAAGCTGGGGTCTGGCTGAATGCGAGACCACGATTTCATCTAATTTTCATACTTTTCTCGATATTGATGCATCTGAGAGCAAAACTGAAAGAGAGCAATATTGTTAAGAATGAAATTTGGCGGACGCCTTGAAGTCAGCCGAGATATCTCTTCCATAAACTTCAAGCAGGGTATACTTGGTTTCACGCTTCGAATCCCGAGTGATACCATTAATAACTTTATGGAAGAAATAATCTCGGCCGACTTCTTGTCCATGATACTTGAGCGGCCGACGTCTTCGAAGTCGGCAGAGATATCTCTTCCATAAACATCAAGCAGGGTACACTTGGTTTGATGCTCCAAATTCCAACCCAAGTATCATAGATAATGTTGCGAATTAACAACTTGTAAAACTACAAGATATTTTTGTCAATTTTTTACTTCAAGATTGGTGGAAATTAAAAAATATGTATACAATTAACAAGGGTGAAATATTTTATGATATACTGCGATTTTATTTAATTGTATCTACCTATATGTTTATATACAGGGTGGTCTGTTACTAATGGGACACAGAGGAACAGTGAATTCCTTACATTAAATTGTTACGATTTATATTAGTCCAATTGTTAATAATAACGAAAATACAGATGATTAAAGTTAATACTTTATTTTCGCTTTTCTTTAAATATTTCGTTTTCTCTTGCATTATGACCATGAAAATTGGTACATTACTATTTTTTAAGACGATAAATAATAATTTGGTATTAGTTTTGATTTATCTTTCAGATGGCACTGCTTGCCTCAAAAAACTCCTTTAATGTAGACATATCTTTTTCATCGTTAAAATTTTTGCAACTCACACAACTTGAACAGTTTCTCAAACATTTTTACATAAATTTGGTATACCTACCAATCTTCTCTAAAGTTCTCCGTTTCCAAGATAATCACTGTTTAAGGGCACTTTGCAAAATTTAATTATGCTCATTAAAAAAAAAAAAAAGATTTTGTTTGGTCAAACACCAGACTAACACCGTCAATTGGCATTAATATTAGAGTATTAATGCTAATTTACAGTGAAAATTATTAAAGAAAAACGGAAATAAAGTACAAAATTTACCCATCTGCATCTTTGTTAATAAAAATAAAAAAATAAAATGAATGTAAGGAATTCACTGTTGCTCTATATCCCATTACTAACGGATCAGCTTGTATAAGAATTATAGTTAATAATTTTCAAGGAAAAAATCTTGCAAATAATAAATTGAATTGACACAATAACAACTTTTAATATTTTACCGAAAACTCCGTGTGTCAACTCAATTTTTTAATTTCTTTTTAGAAAATTATTAACTTTAGAACGCTAACATCTCATACTAAAATTAATTAGTGTTTCAGAAAATAAATTGTAATTTTGGTTAGAAACTTTTTTGTGGACACCTATATTATCAATTTAATGGTGAAAAAGCTCCCCAAACAAACAGCACATAGCAGAATTATGATTTTTTCCGAATTTTATACACACACTATAATAAAAATTTATTTTAAGGTAAAACCGCAAAATACCGCAAGAATTTCTAGCAAAATCTACAATAGTAGGCCTTATACTACAACACGTATACAATATTATTTTTGAACAATGTTAAACAATTTATTTTTTGCCCATCTAAATATCGTAATATAAATTATTTTCTCAATTTAAACATATAATGTAATCATATGTTGCTTTCTGTATATTATACAATTCTACTTACCACCAGCAATAGATTCTATGATAAATTTTCGAAATATATTAAAAAAATGTAAAGGAAAAAATTAATTAAAAAGGTGATAACTGTTTACTAAACAATCTTGACAACTAAAATATTTTGGCGGCGATTGTTACAATAATTATATACAGGATGTTCCGATGACTCGGGGCATAAAATTGCAAAAATAGTGACGATTCGTGAAAAAAAATTATTATGAAAGTCTACAAATGGCCAAGATATGGGCCATCAAAGTTCAGAAATTTTAACACGTTTTTCTATATATTTTCAATACCATTTATGGTAGAGCGTTGAAATTTGGTACAGGGTAAACAAATATCAAGCAAAATCATTGAACCAATTTTGTATTTATACTCTATACTCTGTATTTCCCTAAAATTTGTTTGCTCAGAACTTTTTTGTTCGCTCGAAACCCTACATTTATAAATGGGATGAAATTCTCCATATTTCAAATAATATAATAATATAGGATGTATGTAAAAGTAAAAACTTTTTTGAGAAATATTAAAATATTTTAATTCTATTCAAGTACACATGTTTCATCTTCAGTACATAGAAAAATTATACAATATAATGGAATTAGTTAATAGGTGGGGTTCAGGAGTAGATCTAATTTCTTATAATTAAATTTACAATTAAATTTAAATTAAATTTAACAAAATCACAGATTAAAAACTTCAACAATAAAGATAAAATCTTGGAAGGTATCGTATTTTATCTTTATTGTTGAAGTTTTTAATGATTAATGTTAATGATTTTTTTTCACTAATCGTCATCGTTTTTGCTCTAGTATATGAGGTTAATTTTATGCCCCGAGTCACCGGAACACCTTGGAGTTTATTTAATCAAATAGCAATAATTGCATTTTCAATCTTATTCCTTAAATTTTTCCAATTTTGGCCGAGATTTAAAAAAATTTGCCTGTGTGCGACGTCGGCCGCCCAAGTATCATAAACAATAGTTAGGGCGGCCGATAAGTATTGTCCATGATACTTGGGCGGCCGACATCTTCGAAGTCGGCCGAGATCATTTCTTCCATAAATTTCAAGCACTTGGTAGACTTGGTTTCAGGCTCCCAATCCCGAGTGATACCATTAACAAGTTTATGGAAGAAATAATCTCGGCCGACGTCTTCGAAGTCGGCCGCCCAAGTATCATAGATAGTAGTTAGGGCGGCTGATGTCTTCGAAGTCGGCCGAGATCATTTCTTCCATAAATTTCAAGCACTTGGTAGACTTGGTTTCACGCTCCGAATCCCGAGTGATACCATTAACAAGTTTATGGAAGAAATAATCTCGGCCGACTTCGAAGACGTCGGCCGCCCAAGTATCATGGACAATACTTATGGTGGCGGACGTCTTCGAAGTCGGCCGAGATCATTTCTTCCATACATTTTAAGTAGGGTAGACTTGGTTTCACGTTCCGGATCCGAATTGTAAAACTACTAATTCATCGAATTTTCATATATTGCTCGATATTTATGCATCTGAGAGAAAAGTGTAAAAGTGCAATTTTGTACCAAAAGTTTTTTTTCTGAAGTGTCCCAAATACCGTGCTTAGATTAACTAAATTATTGGGGGCTAACTTCGTATAGGCGTTTTTTGTACATTATTGATGTACATTGGTGATAGATCTCAGAGAAGCATATTCTGGATTTCCCAACCGGCATCCTACCTCCAAGCTATCCTTGTAAAATCTCTTTCATCCTCTGGACATGTCAAATATTAGCTTCAAAGTTGTATTTGCCTATTATGATGTTTCGTCCTATCCAATTTCGTGGTTCCCTAAAAAACTCATCTGTATCTGATACATTGAGGTCTATGACTTCCTTATTATTATCTTCTTATTTCAAGGCTTATGTGGCTTCAAGTTTTTTTGTTATGCTTATTATGTAAAAAATTTTTCAAGTTGTATTTAATATTACAAATATTTTTTGGTTTAGATGTTACGTGTACATAATAACAATGAAGGATGTTCAATTCCAACTACCAGATGGTTTATATGAAAACAAAGATCGTTTTCCTCGAGGAAATGAACTAGATTGTATGAAAGAACCGCAAGGAGATGATCAATTTTTATTAGATGATAAAGATGGTATAAAACGAAGTGGGGATTCAAGTGGTTGTAGTTCTGGTCAAGATAGCGCCGAATCAGATTCCGGTACAAGTTTGGGAAGTTCGAGCGATTCCGGGACTGAACAACCTCGAACGAAAGACGACGATCATCTCGTTGAAGCTGTTCCGTTAGAAGATTTTAGTCTTTCAACGTCTGGGAATGGACCTACAACGTATTGTCAGTTGGGATATCCGAGTTCTCATTCGGATTCGAAGGAAATGACACCATTTAGTTTCCCGAAAGTTGATATCCCGCTTATTATTGGTAATGAGACGCCTGGTTCTGATATTTCGCCATACATCCGGTGTGAGCAAGTGGAATCAAGGTCGATTAATCCGGGTTACGTGGCTAATCCGATTCCTTCTTCCGGTTATGTACCGCATACCGTTGAGGAGAAAAAATCTGGTTATGTTCCTCATCCAAGTGTTGAGAAAAATACCGGATATGTAATGGCAGCAGAAAAAAATTCGTTAATATCACCAAGCAATGAGAACAAAGGATATGTTCAAGTAGCTGATGTGAGTAACTCTCAGATGTTAAACAACGAAAATTTACCGAGAACTAACGGTTACGTTAGTTATGGAGATGTAAAAAGTTTGCCAGCATCACCTGAGATGAAAGCAACCAGTGCATACGTGCCACATAAACAGTTGGATGAAGTGTTGAACAAATAGTTTGTGTTTTTTAATGAACATAGTTTGTGTTTTCTTGTAAAAACAATAAAAGGATGAAGAAGAGACTGTTTTCCGCGCTGACTGCGTTTTCTTTTACAATCACTCTGCGAATATGATGAAGTTATTAGGTCTTTACATTTTGCGTTTGGGATTCTGTGATTAGGTTTGTAAGCCTTCCTGTGTTTATTATTATTAATTCATTTTTTTCTTATAATTTTAATTTGTGTACATAAAGTTTAATATTTGTATATATTTATAAATATATATAAGATTTTTTTTGAATGTGGTTGGAAAAAACACTGATGATCGGTGCCTTAAGATGACTGAAAGGTTTTGTTAAATTAGATTAAAAAACACCTATTGCCATTTCTGCAAAAACTTGCCAGTTTACTCGTACATATAGATTTATGTATATTTGCTTGGACGGAAACGTATTTTCACCTTATTTATATACAAATGAATCGATATGTATACACACACGCTCACAAAACAGGAAAAGAAAATGAAAAGAAAGAAATTTGATGTTCTATGGATAGTGTTATATATTCTAATACTTTATAGTTTTACATTTTTCTTTTTTTATACAAAAAAATGGGGGGGATTTTTGCAATCTACCAATGTGAATGGAATAAGCCCGTTTTATTCTCAGATACTCAATGGAGCGTAGCGATAGTAATATTCTTGTTTATTAATTTTTTATCATGTAACGTTCTAATTTGTTTTTAATCGTGCTTATTACATTGGTCTGATGTTCAAATCTAAACTCCTCCGTTCGTTGTTTTGCGACATATATCGTATTTATGTATTTTACACAATATATAGATATAAATATATGATGTATACAAGATATGATGATGCTAAATTAATTAATGGATTAACGTTTATTTTTCATAAGGATTCGTACGACTTTAGTTTATATAAATTGTAATGCTTGTAATGTTCCTTTGTCACTAATATATATATCATGTATAATTATGATTATTTATTTCACCTTTTTTTTTTTATTAATTCATTTCATTAGATATTGAACGAAGCGAAAATGAAATATGCAGATGTATATGTCGTAGGCAAATTACAAAATCCGGCTTATTACAATAAGCGCCGTCATTTTGCAATGTGCCTGGCAAATTGGAAAATTATCTCACATTTTTTAATCGGCCTAAAATTTCTTAGGCTTATTATAATAAGCGCACATACAGTTAGGCTAATTAGAAAGTGAGCACCAGTTTCATCAAAAAGCCTGGTGGTTTCTAGTCTTATTGCAATAAACCTAGGCTAATATAAGTTCACTAAAATTATACCGAGAAAATTACCTGACCTTAAAGTATTCTTGAAGTATTTGAACTAATTATAGGTTATTTTATGCAAGAAAGTTGAAAAACGACAATTTTTGATGAACAAGTTTTTATTGATAAACATTTATCACATATTAACAGATCATTCAGATCAATGTTAAAATAGAACATATAATACAATAATAATATAAAGAAAATTAAATTAACAAAAACTTGAAAATTAACAACCCAACCCAACGCCGTAGCTTATTCTTAATACGCCGTCGACTGTAATTGCAAAAAGCCTCAATAAAACCAGGCTTTTTAAAGAAACAGTTGTCCACTTTCCAAATGGACTGATGGTTCGTGGGCTTATTGTAATAAGCATAAAAAATTTCAGGCTGTTTACAAAATGTGAGATAATTTTCCAATTTGCCGGGCACATTGCAAAATGACGGCGCTTATTGTAATAAGCCGGATTTCGCAATATGCCTACGACATATATATTGATTACATCGATATGGGATAAGGAAGGAATATCTCAAAACATAACATAACATCAACATGAACCATCTGTTTGTTGATTTTAGAGACTTCTTAACGCTATGATAGAATTTGGAATACCAGAGAAACTCGTCTAATCCAAATGACAATAACAGACATAATATCATCTGTTAGGATACAAACAGAAGTCTCAAGTCTTCAAATAAAAGAAAGCTTGAGACACTGAGACTCAGGATCTGGAAGACGATTTTTTATAGATACAGCTGGGATGCGCTTTTCAAGTGTTTTCATTGTAGTTTTATCAATATGCTTGATACTTGCCATTAGAACATTTCTGTAGCGTCATGTCTACAAAATCCATTCCAAAGATCCAAGATGCCACGATATATTTTTCTTTCTGCAAACAAAAGATTTAGTGACCTGGTTTTTTAAAATATATCTTGGCAACAAAAGTTTGTTATTATATTAAATTATTCATTCCTTTCGATGTTTACAAATATATTTCTGAAGAGAAGCAGAAATTATCGAATTAATAATAGAAAAAGGAATTGGAGAAATATTGAATAAATTAAAGCCGTTTAACCCAAAAACAGAAGGAAGTCCCATTTTGGCAAACGTATACCATACTTCATCGTCACTAAAATGATATTTTAATTATCAAACTATAAAATTAATATGTCAAGGACTTTAGGGAAATGGATTTTGCAGGTGAGTCCCTTTGGTGAGAACTTTTATCCAATATAGGCAGTTCTCAGGTAGTAAGTCGTAGCCACACACTATTTTAGTAGCGCTGTTAGCCTCTGGCAAAGAAGAGGTGACAGATCTATTGATTATAGCAGATAGGATCTGGGAATTAATCACTTGAACGCCAAGCATATACCAAGCCACACACTTAAATTACAACAACTCATTTTATTCACACAATTCAACAACCTCACAACCAACAAACACTTCCACTTCGCACATCACTCAAACTAACACACAACTGACTATGACCGACATGATCAAAGCCTTCGATACCTTCACCACGACATGTCAGAGTATATTTAGCACATTTGCCCAAATTGACTTCAATCAACAGCAAGCTAAACAACAACAGTAATGAATTCCCAAATCACCATTGCTGTGCACAGTGCATTTATCGTCGTAGAACATCCACAAGAATGCATCTGCACTTATCACACTAAATATGGCGATAATAGGCCATATGGCTTTTCAATAGAGAATAAACCCAAAATTTCTAATTCAAAGAATTCCAAATTAAAAATCAATGAGCTAAATTCAAGACTATTTATTTATGACATTATAAATAACTTAAATTTTCTCATTGAGTCGGGAGCAGAAATATCAGTTTTACCAGTTAATAAACCGTTCAATAAAGATAACTCCACATTCGTTTTATCAGCAGCGAATTGATCAGTTATCAAAACATATGGCAAGAAGTTACTAACAGTTTCTCTACAATTAAGACGTAACTTTCGGCGCTGATAATATCTTAATAGATATTAAACATCAATCAATGTGAAACAAATCTTTCAGCTCCTCTCACATACTTCTTCTGCTCAACCACGCCTTTTCTCTCTTGAAACAATATTTACTCAATTACTAAAAAATTTTCCAAATTTAACTTCTTCCCCTGATTTCTCCGTTCCTGTAAATCATCAAACAACACATAAGATAATAACTAACTCTCATCTGCCTTTCAACTGCCCTCGAAGACTACATTTTAGAAAACTTTTTATAGCTAAAAAAGAATGTTATCTATAAATCATGGTCATTCAAAAAGGACTCCGAAGATTGGCGTTACATACAAAATTTTACAAAAACACCCGAAGATATTTACAAAACGGCAATAACCACACCAGTTGGTCTATTTGAATTTTGAAGTTAAATCAATGAAGTTCTTATTGGCCTTACTTTCTTTCTTGTCTATTTAGATGATATTTTAATAGCAGTAAAAGAACTCAATGTTTCTTAGGAATGTTAAATTTTTATCATCGTTTCATACCTATCTATTATAACCTATCAGAAATCTTATTCCCACTACATAAATTAGTAAATAAATTGCAACTTGAAAAAATCAAAAACATTACACTCTGGACAACAGAAGAAGAACATTCTTTTTCTAAAGCCAAAGACTCTCTGGTCAATGTTGCACTTCTCTCACATCCTTCTCCAACAGGATCGTTTTCTCGATGTACTGATACTTCAAAAACAGGAATAGGAGCTGTTCTTTCGCAAACTAACAATGGAACTACTTCACCAGTGAACAGCTAAATGAAGTACTCCACCTTTGACAGAGAACTCTTAGCTGTGTATTCCGCGATTAAACATTTCTTACAAGGAAAACAATTCAAAATTTTCACAGATCATCGCACTTTTTCGAAAACAGAGAAAACTCCTAGGCAAACTAGATACATTAACTAGATAGTTGAGCTAACCTCTGAAATCTCTTACATTAAAGGAAAACCATCTTTGACAAATTTCATTGTCTAACACACCTAGGTTTCAAAACCACCTTAAATAATATCAAAAATCGTTTCTTTTGGTCACATTTAACCAAGCAAATAAAATCATGGTGTAAAACTTGCATACCTTGCCAGAAAACTAAAATCCAAAAATACTCAAAATCTCCACTTTAGAAATTTAATCTACCTACTGGTAGATTAGAACATATACACATACATCTAATAGGTCCTTTTACTCCTTCATTAGGCTGTTCTTTTGTAGCCATAGATCGCTTCACTAGATGGCCCGAAGCATACCCAATACCTGACACTACATCTACTATAGCCGCAACATTACTAAACCAACATTTCTCAAGATTTGGCAACGCGAGTCCCGATTATTTCGCCATTTCAATAGATTGTTAGGATTTGATCAGATCCACACTTTAACCTTTCATCCCCAAAGTAATGGCATATTAGAAAGGTTCCATAGAAAACTTAAAACTGCCATTGCTGCCAGAGGAAACGGCTATAGGTGGAACAACGATATATAAATTAAAATATTTATAACTACTTGATTTACATTTTATTATTAACCTTATTTCTTCTTGGAAATAGGAGTATTTGTAGCATTATGTCTACAAAATCCATTCTATAAATCCAAGATGAAGCCACATGTATATAAAACTGCTTGACTAATTTAATTTTGATTAAATTTTTATTTATTATGTTGGGAAAATAAAATCTATTAACAATCCCACAATCTCTTTGGTCTTTCCATTTTATCATTACTTGCGGCCTTTATTCTGGCAGCAATAATTTCATGTTTTTTCAATTTATGTTTTACACTTTGTGTACAATTCAGTTTTCTGTTGTTTTATAAGTTCTTGGGCAAGATGAACACTTGTATATGTAGAAATTGTCAGTGAATAAAGTTCGAGCACTATCCACTAAACCTTCTGATAATGCAAAAACTACCTTGAAAGATGCGCTTCCTGTAGAAATATGATCTTGACCGCAATACACTTATATCCTGTATGTGTATCCATTTTATAAACATAACTTGTTAAGTTTCTTCTCATCAATACATAAATTTTGCCCAGGTATTTACAGAGTGTTAAATTAATTAATTATCGTACCCGACGTCATCATTACAAGTATGCAACCAATATTACAGTAGTGGTATTGCAATACGCAATTTGCGTACTTGGTTGCATACTTGCAAAGATGACGTCAGGTACGATAATTAATTAATACACTGTATATTTTTTCAAACTGTTTCTGTGTTCTTTCAGTAAAGGTCTAAGTTTACAAAGGCGATCAATCGGTTGACCTTCAGGAATAACTCTTTGGTTGTCATTAAAATGCCAAATTAATAATATTTGTTAAAACCGATTTCTGGATAGGATCTTTTTCATATTCGTTTGAAACAAAAGGGGTGTGCTTACCGAAAAATTTTTATAATTCAATATTATCAACAAGAGTCCAAGGCTTATTTCTTGATTTTGAACTTAGTTTTTTGTTGAAGTTGTTGGATTAGTCTGCTGAACAATATTACTCATATCTTCCGTAACAAATAGATTGAAAAAGTAGTAAGGTGTCTTATCGTACAATATTCGTCCTTTATCCCACATTGCGTGGACCAACTTTATGATATTTAGAGATCAGTAGTGTCTAAATGCTGATGGAACAAATCGAGGTATGTTGGAAATATACAAAAACAAATATTTATTTTTTATAAAGGATATATTTATTGAAGAAAGGAAATACATGTATGTCATATCCATGATCATCCGATAAATGTAGGTTAAACATTACTCTATAGTTACATTCATTTCGATTACTTGCGGGGCAGATTTTTTTATTTTCGTACAGTTAATAGTAACCTACCGGAAATGATACGTTCTACGGTAAAGGAGAAAGGGTTTTAATTGTTTTATACGTTAGAAACGAATGATTACGAACGTTAGAAGCACGTTTCGCGGTTTTTTTTTATTTTGGAATACACAAAACTAAAAAAAATTAGGAGTTGAACTCAAAAAAAAAAATTATAATTAAAATAAAAAAAAAAAGATTTGGCTTAATAGTTTACGAGCCTTGTGAGTTGGGATATCGTTCGAAAAAGAGAGCTAAAACTCTTACTCTATTAACATATTTACAAAATACACGACATAGTCTTTAGAGATTACAATTGTTAACACAACACAGCTGGTTATTATATCCCATTAACACATACATTTTTTTTATCAACACCTATTTTGTTAAAGGGGGTTTCTTCTCATTATGTTATTTTTTCGGGATGACATGTACATCAAATTGTGTTTATACATTTATTAAGGAACATAAAAACGCGCTTACTATTTAAAAAGTTTCCAAAGCAAAAACGGTATTTAAAACGAAAACATCTACCATCAAACATACTTTTATATTATTTTTTTATAAATTAACGATTATTATATTTCTAATAAAGTTAAAATTTTTTAAACAATCGTTAATCTATAAAAAGATTAGATTAACTATTTTATTTCTAGTTTTATCTAGAAATCGTTTTTGTTTAAAAATTGATCTTAAAACGGTAAGTCTTGTGATTCTCTTGACTCATCGTGACTTGATATAGTTGATTTAAGGGAATGGGGAGGTCCGCAGTCAGCAAATGTGGACGGACATTCAATGTCTGAGCTTTTTTTATGTTGAAGGGACCGTTATCGTGTAATGACGTCGTAAATGTATTTATAAATTGGTCCGATAGAGTAGTTTTTTATCTGTTGCGTTTCCGATTTGTTTTCGCTTCCTCTACATATACAATATATGGGATTATAACGTAATTTGCTTCAGTTACTCTCACTCTACACTGCCTTTTCTATTTTTATTTTCGATTCTTTTTATACAGATGTTGATTTCTTTAATTAATATTTACGCAGTCCTTTTTTATACATTAACTACAATTGTTTATACAATTTTTCTTTTCTATATATATATATATGTATATATTTAGTTTTCTTCTTTTTATATAAATTAATTACGTTCTGCTCCGTTAACAAATCTCTAACCATTTTTTTCTCTATTTTTTACCTTTTCCTTATTTATTATGTATAATCATATCGTATCTAAAATAGATCCTACATAGCACTGTTATAGAATACTTTTTACAACTTTTTTAATTATTTTCATTTACAGTGTGTACATCCAATCATATATTTTTTAACTAATATGAATTAAACGTTCTCAGTCTTTAAATAAATTAATTAGTTTAAAAAAGGAACATAAAAATTAATTTAATTTAAAAAGTGTATTTCTCGCTCGTAACTCTTTAAAAATTTAACTTCATATTAAAATAAAAAGCTAATCTTACGATTATTTGTGTTGGTTAATTATGGCTGTGCCTTATTAAATAATGGCAGATTTTTTTGAATCCGCCCAGTAAAAAATTACCTTATATTAATATTATACAACTGTTTTTATTACAATATTATATATTTCTGAGGCAATAATACATTCCTTATATTCGAAAACTTTTTATCCCATAATTAATTTGTTATTGCTACAAAATTAAATCAATAAAAAATACCCTAACGCTTTTTTTTTGTTAAAATTGACTCAGAAATTATGTGCAAAATCACCTTTATATATTTTTATATATATATCGAGGCGCAACAAAAATTTGAAATATAAGCAATAACAAATATCACTCATATTTGAGATCTTTATCGCCCTCCGCATATTAAATACGTTTTATATACAAGATGTACCTCTAAAAATGTTATTATGAAACTACGACTTCCAATTAACGCTACTCCGTAAAAATAGTTTTATTTTGAGCATCGCTCGCGATCTAAAAAACCGATTTGGGATTGCGTCCCAACGCTTAAAAGTCGAAAAGTTTTTTAAACTAATACTGCTAATTTTTAATATCACCATCCAAAGTTTGTTTTTTAATGTTTTAAATAAAATAATACCCGTAATGATAAAAATAAAAAATTGTATTGTTAGTGAGGTTTAAAATAATAAAAATTAAATAAAAATAAAAAAAAGGGGAAAAATTAAACCAAAAAAAGAAATAAATAAATAGCATGTAGGATCTATTCCTTTTCTTTTCCGTTTTAATCTTTTGAATACTGTACGAAATTGATTTAAAAAAATTAATAATGAGAAAAAGAGCAAGACGCCGTTTCTACGGGTCATTTATGATACCTCATGATAATATCCTTGGAAATTAGAGGAGATTCTGCAAGTAAAGAAAAACAAACATGTTAAAAATCGTAATGTACACATAGCGGTTGCACATTAAAACAAAATCATAACATACAAACAGGAGCGACACCGTCCGACACTGAAGAATAGGAGAAGAAGATAAAAACAGACACGGAGAAGAAGCTAGAAGCGTTGCACTAAGCTCGTTCTTTTTTTTTTGAATTTTTTTCACGTTTACACGAAAATTCTTTTTTACACGCACCTATAACTACACCAGTCTAACAGACATAGAAACTAATGTGATGCTTATCAAGTTCCATCTTTTTTTAATATAACAATTATAGGGTTACACATAAATCAATCGAGAAAAAATTAAAAATTTCTTATTAAAATTTTGAATTTTTTCTAATTGATTCATTTACATAATAAATACAGATCGTGTGCAATTTTAAGCAACTGTGAGCTTGGGCCCCACTGCCTCCATACCTTCGGGGGGCACACGTACACTGTCGTTGCTTAGCGAACCATTCACAGCCCCGTTTGCCATTGCGTACAAATCTGGCGTTCCTTCCGGTGGTGTACAAAATGTTTGAACCGCCAAATGTAACCTTAAGTAATCATCAATATTCGACCAAATTCCCGGTCGTTTATTATGGTATAATTTCGCGTACATATAAACGTCCACGTTGTTATCATACGTTATATGTTTTTTGAATGTTATTAAGCAACAGAATGTTGCAGCTTCTGTTCCACCAAATCTGTAAAAAAAAAAACAAATTTATTTTTAATTAAATATTAATTTCTTTTGTTATCGTTAACTTATTTTTATTATAAATAACCCTGGTCTAATATACAAGGATATTATAGAAAAAAAGTTGATAAACACTTAATATTCTATTATCTGCCATATTCAAAAAAGCCAAAGAACATCAAATGTGTTAGATACATTTCGGAGCGTGAAACCAAGTCTACCCTGCTTGAAGTTTATGGAAAAAACGATCTCGGTCGACTTCGAAGACGTCGGCCGTCCTAAGTATTGTTCATAATACATAAAGACGTCTGCGAAGCAAACAAAGGTGAGAAATTAAGATCTGTTAATCAATTGCTCCAGAAAAATACTGGAACGAATCATGTTGGCGCGTCTGGAATGGTGGATGAATAGTGGTGGTCTAGATGTTTGGTTTTAGAAACGGAAGGGGAGTGGCTCATTGTCTCTTTACGGTAATTGGATCTGTACAAATGATTCTCTTTGCACCTCAACGGCAAAGACAAAATATACTTGCTCAACTTAAAATTTCTGTAGATAATACATATGTCCCTCTTAACGAAGTAGTAAAAAGCCTTGGGTTAATTATTGACAGCGGCCTTAAGTTTGCGGAGTTTATTAATAAATGTACACAACGTGCATATTGTAATTTAAAATTAATTTATAATAGCAGACACTTTTTAAATAGAAAAACGAAAGTTATGCTATGTGAATCATTGGTGTTATCGAATTTCAATTATTGCGATGCTGTCTATTCCTCTTTTATTTCCTATCTGTCTAAAAGAAAGATACAAAAGGTGCAAAATTCGTGTTTGCGGTTAATTTTCGGAATTAGACAATGAATTAGACATTGAATATAAGATTTAGAGGTACGCTGACTCCCCCGATACATAGCCTTCAGCTCTTTAAGAAATCGTTTACATACCAAATTGCTAAAATATACAATGATATGCCGTTAGATGTAAGATCGTCTGCAACCGTATACACATTTAAACGGAAATACTCTAGGTATTTGTCTGGCTTAGCTTGAGGTGTCGTGGTCTATCGCATTCGCATTTTTATCTTGTCGATGACCAGGACGACATGTTATATTTTTTTTTCTCTTCATTTGTTTATTATTTGGTTAGTGTTCAAGTGTGTGCAAGTTTATGTGTTGAGTTTTTGAGCCCTGCTGTTTTTCTTTTTGTTGTCGTGTTTTTTTTTTGGCGTAATTGAAAAGCGGTTTTCTACCGAATTGCGCCATTTTTCCAGAAAGAATGTTTTGTGATGGAAATTAAGTTTAGTTTTAAGTAAATTAGTTTAAATTCGTTTTTTAGTAAATTAAGATTAGTTTTGTGAATGTATTGATTTAATTTTTTTCTTTGTTTTTTTTATTCTCTTTCTGGAAAATAAATGCATTATTATTATTATTATTACAGACGGCGTTTTATCGAAGAAATGTTATGGTTGTAGTCTTTATTGATATTTTGTCAGCATATGATAATATAAACATTACCATATTATTTAGAATGCTGGGCCGTGATGGATGCCCTTCTTGTCTAGTTGTTCTTCTGCGTCAAGTATTGACCAAAAATGTATATCAGCTTAAACATGATCCCAACAAGATTGGAGGTAGAGTATCTTATAAGAGCTTGCCCCAGGGAAGCTCCCTTAGTCCGTTACTATTTAATTACTATATTAGAGGCATCAGCGTTATTAATGAGGTACGTGGAGTTAAAACAGTCGTTTTTGCAGACGTTTCCATTGAATTGGCAGTTGAAGTCATTGAATGCGACAGCGAGCTTTTTGAAGAGCATAGTTTGAGTCTGGCACCTAATTAGTAGAAGGCAATGTTTTTTAGTCGCAGGACCACACCTGACTCCATTCCCCTAATAAGGTTAAGAGCTGAAAATATCACAACGACTGTGAACATGGTATACTTAGGTGTGCATTAAAATATAAATTATCTTGGAGGGAACATGTGAACTATATTATAAATAGTACTGAGGTCTCTTTCATCAATTAGATGGGGATGTAGTCCGATGATTTCTACGTTACTTTATAAAGCACTTATTCAGTCTAGACTGGAGATTGTTACATGGTTGATGTTGCCTGTCCTAGTTATTGTCCTAATGCGTTATTGGTTGAAGCGGATATTACGGCTTTGGATTTAAGGTTGCGTCTGTTAATGGATAAATTTGTTGTGCAAAATCACATACATAGAACTAGTTCTTTAGAAAGATTAATGGAGAGTTTGAGTCAACTATATAGATATGACAGGGTGGCAAATATCAAACTATCGGACCATGCAAATATATTTGTGGCAGAATTGTTTGCTGTATGGTGGGCAATGAATTATGTAAAGCCTAAGGTGACACCCTATCACCTGTAGGGTGATATTCTCTGATTCTTTCATTGGAGGTGACCATGGGAAGAAAGACGAAGGTACATTATCTGGTGAATAAGGTCAAAGAACTTAGCTCTCAGTATACACCAGAAAATCTGAAGATTGAGTTGGCTTGGATTCCTGGTCATGTGGGGATTATCAGGAATGAAATGGTGGATGGTCTGGCGGCGGAGGTGAATGGTCCATTGTATCAGATAACCAAAAATGTTAGTGACATTTTCTACGAACTAAAGAGAAATGGGACGATAGTAGCAGATTTAAAGGCAGAGCCTTGTGGTTGAATAAGAGGGATGTCAGAGAATGGGCATGGTATAAGCTATTGTCGTCAGAATCGAAGCATATGATATCCGATACCCTGGTTCAAATCAAAGCGGGAGACGTCTTTGGAAATGCTCCAAATACCGAGGTAACCTTGATAAATCATGAAACATTTGATCTCTCGTTATCCAATGGCCCCAGTAATGCTCAACTGTTTCAGCTCATGTCTTCTATACAGACTGAGGTGAAGAAATTATCAAGCAAGTATGATGAGATCATTAAATGTATCTCATTCTATGGGGATTAAATGACAGATTTTGAACGGACCCTAAATAAATTTAGTGATAAGGTTAAACAAATCGACGCAGTGGTTTAATGAACTTGAAACTCAGGGCAGACTTGGCTGTTACGGAAAGCCGTATCGATCACCTGGAGCAATATTCACGCTTAAACAACTTAATTATTTCAGGAGTCCCCGAACGAGTGGGCGAAAATCTTCCTGATATTGTGTCCAGTATTGCTTCTGTTATTGATTCCTCCATTGCACTTTTCGATATTGATGCCGTACACCGATTGCCTCAAAGAACATCTCTCAGAGCTGATAAATCGCATGCAAGGCAATCATCGTTAAATTTGTATCCAGAATGACACGGCTAGATTGCGAGTTAATGGCCGTGGTTTATCGGTTCCTGATCCCTTATCGATATGCTTTTCTTCACGTTATTAGAGATTTTTTTCTGAATCCATTAATGTACAATACATCAACATTAACTGTAATTGTAGCAGAGAAAAACATTAAAATAGTTTTCGAACATTCTGTTAAAGTCAATTGTGTTATAATGTAGTGTGCCATGGGAAAAAATAAAAAAACTACAATTTATAAGTATCATTTACAACTGCTTCGGGCATTTTCTTTCCATGGCACACTACAGACAATGTTCGGAAAATGTTTTGATTGTTTTTCTCTGCTAAAATTACGATTAATGTTAATGTATTGTACAGCAATGGGTTCAGAAGAAAAATCTCTATCCCATAACGTGAAGAAAAACATACCGAGCAATTTGATAATTGCTTGAATTTGAAGATGGCGTTGGAAAAGTTTATTTGTAGCATAAATCATAGTATTCATCAAATCATTTCATTTGATACCTGGCTCATGAAAATCGGAATGTAAATGACAGAGTTACAGCTTGGGGCGTTTTTTTGTAATAACATGAACGTTTTCAACAGGGTACGGGAAATCGCAAAAAAAAACTGTAAGTACGTTTCGATGAAGAACTGTTTAATTCACATAAGAAAGATGACAGGGCTAAGGCTTTGGTAGTTTCTCGAAAAACGAGATCATGACATGTAAGTTACTTTAGTAACTTCTATCTCTTCTTCGTGTATCTCTTTTAGCTTCAGAGATAGCCTATGCGGAAAACGAATTTAGGACACCCTGTACATGTGGTGTCTTTTTGAACATCTCAAGTACTTATAAACTCATCAAAATAGATCTGGTGAGGATCCGAACACCATACAATTATGAACCAAACCTTTATGAACAAATATATATCTTTTATCAAATTCCTATATATTCCTGCTTTGGTATGCAACTGAACCATTCTGGCCAAAAAAATATTTTGTATATTTTGTAAATATTTTGCAGTTTGAAACATTTCCGGTGTGCACCAGTATTGCAAGCTGTTGCAGAGAACATCTGAATACAACAAACTATTAGAAATAGCTTTGGTGAGTACTATAATGAACTTGGTATATGCCAGAAAGGCTTTGGTGCAATTCAGAACGGTTCTGGAACATCTTTGGCGTTGGCGTGATTTGCGAGCTGTTTTGAAATAAACCTCAAACTCTTAATCCGTCTCTAAGTACTTTTGAACATCTTAAACATCTATAAATAATTCTGACACCCAACACTATAGATTTGGAGCGGCCCTCGAATTCCGATAAATAATTTAGGTGCGCACTTAAACCATTCTGGCAAATATAAAGAGATTTGGTATACAGGTGACTTATTAGCTCATTATTAATTCTGCACAGTTAAATTCGGATTTGGCAGCGCTTATCGGAGAAGCTAATAAACTTTGTTTGCAAATAAACCCTAAAAAATCAGTTGTTCTATTGTTCGGTAATGATAGCATTATTGTATCAATTGGAGATGATTTTAGTGTCGTCATTGATGGAAATAAGCTTAATGTTGTTAAGGAAGGACGTAACTTGGGCATTATCTTGGATAGCAATTTGAGGTTTAGAAGGCATGTCAGTTTGTTATTGCAACAAGCTTATTCTACATTTAGATTGTTATATAGTAACAGGCATCTGTTCAGTAGACAGATCAAAACTCATCTTTGTGAGACCCTTGTGTTGTCCCTATTTAATTTCGGTGATGTGCTCTATCATCCTTGTCTGGATAGTGTGGATGTTTCTAGAATTCAAAGGGCGCAAAATGCGTGTTTGTGGTTCATTTATGGTTTGCGTAGGCGAAGTCGAGTATCACACTTTTTGGATAGGGTTGGTTCAGTATGTCGCGGAGGCGTGTACTTCATTCGATATGTTTGTTCCGACGCATTATTCTGTACAAATGTCCACCTTATCTATATGATAAAATTCGATTCGCACAACATCAGTGTTAGACATCATCATTGGTTAGACATACCACGGCATAAATCTCAACTTTTTAAGAGATCATTTTCATATTGTATTGCTAATTTGGTTAATAAATATGTAGACGTGTGGCCTGATACGGGTGGAATGAGCGCTTTCACTTTTAAGAAGAGTTTAAAACATTTGCTACTTCAACAGCAGAGGCAACCTAATTGAAACTTATATAAATTTAAAATTGTTAGGTGTATAATTTTATTGTCTCAAAATGTTATATTATATTTGTTTTTTTAATATCATGTTATTATATCAAGTACCTGCATCCTGTTTCTCTTATGTATTATTATTTTCTTACATTTTTTTTTTGTTTATTTTTTCTTGTTTTTCAAAATTTTCAAGGGTCGATGAAAAGCAATAGTACCTACTTGGGTGCATTGACTCGACTCTTTTTGACAACTTTTGAAGTTACGTTTGTTTTTTTTTTTATTTCCTTTTATTTTGTGAGTTGTAATCTCTGTATGAGTTGTCAATAAATATTATTATTATTATCATCAAACTTTGACATATGATAGCTAATCCAATTACCAAAAAAAATGTTAATGAACACTTTAAAGTTTTAATTTTTATATCATCAGCATTTTTATCAGCCTATTTCGTCATAATTAACTGCATACTCTTCAGTCCTATAAGCGTACATTTTGAGTTTCTTCTTGTATGCAATAACTAAACCTTACAGCAAACTGTCATTACAATGACAACTTTGTTTTTGTTGAATGTTTGATTTTACTGACTATTAATAAATTCGCTGTAGAAAATGTTAGTGTTATAATTTCGTAAATACCGTATTTTCTCGAATCTTATCCGCACTCAAATCTAATCCGCACCCCGATTTTAAAGATGCATAGTGGTAAAAAAATTTAGTTTGCGAATGTAATCCGCATCTTTCTTTGAGCAATTCGACAACACCAAAACGATGCAATGCTTGTTGTTAACCATAAATATATATTTTTTCTGTTGACTGACGCTGATGTAGCTAAAGAAACCTTGCTTACGACGAGTTTTTATTAGACTAGACTTTAAATTTACCAAGCCAGAAAAAATTGGAAAATAAATATAATTTTAAAAATAAATAGTAATGCCTAGCACGAATTCCGTTCATATACTGCCCTAGTAGTAGCTCGAACGTGGTGTGTGCTTAATTAATAATTATACATATAATAGGGTAATTATAAAAAAATGTAGCAAAAATCTAAAAGGTTCTTCTATACAGCAAAGTTTAAAGAGATGTTATTAAGTTAGCGTTAAGGAAATCGAAAAGCTGGTACAATTTTTGCTGATAACGAGAGTAACGTTGCAGCTGTTGCGGAAAGACCAGGTAGCTATTGGAGACTGTGAGGCATCGTGCAAAAAATTTACCGGGCCAAAGAAGAGACGATTTCATGAAATTGACGAGGCAGTTTTCTAGTTCTCTCAAGAAAAACGAAAAGAGGGACTAAAGAATTTTTAATACTAGCTCCCAAAAGCGCCTAATGATTTTCAAGAAAATTTCAATTTGTCTCAAACTGTAAATGTCAACAAAATGGTAGTATATCTGGATATGCCACCCAACTACACACTGGAAAGAAGAGGTGTGTGGGAAATTTCTTTATAAACGAATGGTTGCGAAAAATTGCGCATCACATTGATGCTAGCAGTAACAAGTGATAGGGAAAAATTGCTGACATTACTACTATTGAGAAAAAAACCATTCTGAAATCTGAAAGACTTCCCGAATGAGGTCCTAGTTAGGGCACAACAAAAAGGATGGATAATTGAAAAGCTGATGATGGAATGATTAAGACAAGTATGGAGTCGTAGACCAGGAAGATTATTAAATAAGGATATTAATTAATCATAGATGATTGCCCTTGGTTTAGACTTCTTGTCATAATAATAATACCTGGTGGAATAACATCCATACTACAACCTGTGTATGTATATGTATATTAACAAACTCGAGAATTAACAAAACCGGGAGCAATTAAAGGAGCTTCTGAACTTGCTCAGTGAGTGTAGGCGACATGGAAAACGATCCCTGAAAACAATATTATAAACAGTATTATAACATCATTTAAGAAGTTTTGTATAATGCGAATTGATCCGTATTGATCCGAAGATGACGTAATATGGGAAGAAAATGATACAAAAAAATGTAAATATCGTTCTAAAACCCTTAATAAAGTATTATTGTTATAATGTGATTTTATTTTACTATTGTCCAAATTGCAACTATACGACTGCGAATCTAATCCACACCCGATTGTAATCCGCATTTGATTTTAGAGCACATAAAATCTGGAAAAAAGGTGCGGATTACATTCGAGAAAATACGGTAATTGAAATAGGAATACGTTCATTAACGTTTTTTTTGGTAATTGAATTAGCTATCATATGTCAAAGTTTGATGGTGAGCTAATAAATCACCCTGTATATGAAAATACTTTCAAAAAATTTTTGTAATAAGCTGAATAGTTTCGGTGAGCACTAAAACGATCTTGGTGTATTGCCAGAAGGGCTTTGGTGTACTTCAGAAGGGTGTATCTTTGAACATCTCCGGTGTTTGTACTCAGTTTTATTGCAGTTCAGAATCTCACAGCACTAAAACAGTTCTGAAATACGTTAGAGCTGTTCTAGAACATACATACTTCTATAACATATTAAACGACTATTTTAATTTAATATTCGTCTTGAAAACTCATAACATTTTATTAGTATCAGTTAAAAAAAATTAATTCTTACCTATCAACAACAACAACCGGTCCATTTTGATACCCTAATTGCGTATCTTGAACAGTATTAGGAAGATGATAAATTTCGGAAATAGATGGACAATGATGTGGCCAATTCATACAATGAATCATCCTCACGTGCAATTCGTAATCATCCTGTAAAGATTGCATAGTGAAATCTCTAGTTACATAAGAGGATTGAACCGTTTCGTTTGTTTGTTTTATTTTGAAATTTTCAGCTTCAATAAATTCTTGTTCGACCGGCCAAAATACCTCAAACTCCTTAAAAATAAATTAATTAACATAATGTTGGGATATTATTCAAGATTTTTTTATTACTTGGTTATCAATTATGCTAAGCATAACGATAGTTTGAGCGTTATGGTCCCAAACCATTTGCCAAAAATCTTTAATCGTCGACCGTAGTGGATGTTGGGTGATAATAAATTCGCGTAAACTGTGGAAACCTTGTAACCAAGTGCCGTTAACGTAATCCGAACCTTCTTCGCCGGGTTTTGGGGTTAAATGAACCCTGGAACTTTCAACTGGCACGATATCCATCCGTCTATTCTTTGGCTGATTCATAACTTTTGAAGCTGATACTAAATTAAATTCTTTACATTGAAAACTTGTGACTAACTAAAAAATTCAAAAAACAATTAATTATTTTTTTTTTAAATTAAAATGACTTACTTTGAATTGAGATTCTATACTTTTCCACAAGTTTGATTTATCGACTTTGACACCTTGGATCGCTTGAACGTATTTGGGAAATTGTTCCCTGCTTATATTAGTTTCACCAGATTCGATCGCCTCAAGAAGAGCATCATGTATAAAAATGTACTGCTCTTCTGTTTGCACCAAAAAGTTGCGTTGTTTACGGATGTGGCGTAAAAATCCGAATATATTTACTTCATTTCTTGTACGGATTTGTTTTAACATTGCATCAACTACAATGTAAGTCCCAGTGCGGCCAACACCAGCACTAAAATTTGTATTTTAATTTTTTTGCACGATTTGAGTTATTATTTCTTACCTGCAATGAACTATAATAGGCCCCCCATCGGTGGGATTTGCAGCAGACGATTTTTTAACGAAATGTAATACAGGTAGCGGATGGTCGGGGGTTCCATGATCGGGCCAATTAGTGTAATGATATTGATAAACCAATTTTTCAGCTAAAGCGGCCTTTTTCTTTTTAATCTAAACCAAAAATGTATTTTTAAAAATTATGGAACATCAAAATTAATTAAAATACGTACAGTACTTACTCTGAGATGTCGGATTTGTAGTGTACGAACTGTATAAGTGGCCATAACATCCTCTTTGACTAGTCTCACTTGTATAACACCGTAAGTTTCCACACCTTCTTTCGGCCAGTACATATCACACTTTCGCTGGAAAAAATTTGTTAGAAACCAATGAGTTTTAATCATTAACTTTTGTTCAAATAAAAACGGAGTTAATTCAAAGTAACAAAAATCGAGATTAACATCAAAAGTTAGTACACAAATGAAAGAAACAAAAAAAAGTGTTATTCACAAAAGTACCTCAAAATAATCGCTACCGCGGTTGAAGAACGAACCCTGGCAAATTTAAGTTTACTCATTCTTATGAAAAAAAATGTTAAGCTGCGCATTTTTAGTACTTACCCTACCACGCTCCACGAGATTCGTTATCATTACAATTATCGTAACTCTTTGCTCCCAAACCATACGCCAAAAACAGTCAAATGTTGAAGGTAACGGACCTTGGGTTCCAATGTACGCCTTCGATATAGAAAATCCATCAATATAATTTGCGTTAATATACTCAATGTTCTTTTTCTGACCAGGCATAGATAACAACTGTACTATGCTATGATCATCTAAAAAAATCCCATATAAAACATATTTAACCAAATTACAAACCAAAAACGTACAAGCTGTAATATTTAAATATCGATTTTTAACACGATTATCGGGATGTTGAGATATTTCGGATGAATGCTCATCTTGTGTGGCTATTCCTTGAATGATTTCATATTCCTTACTAAATCCAATATCACCATCTGCATGCAATTGAGCGACGTGCTTGCAAAACATATTAACCGGAATTGGTCCTTTGTATTCCCCATTTTCTTCAGGAGGAACATTCCAATCTAATGATGAAGTTGGCACCGCACAAGGTGGATTATCGAGATAATAATACGGAGCACTAAAGAATTTCCTGTGTAATTAAGAAAATATTAATTAATGATTTTTAATTAACGTACGATTAAAATGAGAGATAAATTTAATATAGTTTGTGTAGCCGAGGTTTAAACCTAAAACTGGTTAATACAATGCAGCGCCTCGCCCGCAAGCGACCTCAGGTTGTTATAACTTCGCCTGAGTTTTGTGAAAATGTGATTTCGCTTGATTAAGTAGAGGTCGCTTGCGGACGAGGCTTTAGAATTAACATTAAATCAACCAAAAACTGGTTAATACATTGAATTTTTAATGACATAACAAAATATGTACATAAATATATATAATAATATTGGCTATAGTAAAAATTTAAAGTTAAGGTATACCATATCAACATATAGAACTATGCTGCACCAATAATATTTATATATTTTACATCAATAGCTTCTCCTGAAGAAGGTAACAAAATAAAAAACGCATTCAGGAAGTAAGATTGAAAAAGGGTTGAACACCCAAAATATTTATTTATAGTGTCTAAGGTTCGACATGAAACACAGAAATAGAAATCTAGGTGGTCAAAGAACGTGAAGACCTCTCCAACATGAGAACTCTTAGGAAGTAAAGCATATTTTTAAGTTAAGATACTGTATTTTTTTATTATTTATACAGGTGTTTCGAAATTGATGAGAAAGATTTTTTTTCTGGAAATTTTATTAATATTATCATATAGTTTTTACATCATATCATAAACTAGAATCTTTAAGCTTCAATATAACATATATATTATATCATGATCATTAAAAATACAGATGATATGATTTTTTGAAAATTTGATGTTATATTTGCAAATTTGACAGTTTCTTCAACAATTTTTTTCTGGCAATTTTATCAATCCTATCATATAGTTTTTATATCATATCATAAACTAGAACCTTTAAGCTTCAATTTAACATATATATCATATCATGACCATTAAAAATACAAATGATATGATTTTTTTAAAACAAGATGTTATTTTATATTTAGAAATTTGACAGTTTCTTCTTTAATAATTTTTTTCTGGGAATTTTATGAATACTATCATATAATTTTTATATCATATCATAAACTAGAATCTTAAAGCTTCAATTTAACATATGTACCATATCATGGCCATTAAAAACACAGATGATATGATTTTTTGAAAATTTGATGTTATATTTGCAAATTTGACAGTTTCTTCAACAATTTTTTTCTAGGTATTTTATTAATACTATCATATAGTTTTTATATCATATCATGAACTAGAATCTTTAAGCTTCAATTCAACATATATATCATATCATGACCATTAAAAACACAGATGATATGGTTTATTGAAAATTTGATATTTTATATTTGCAAATTTGACAGTTTCCTCAACCATTTTTTTCTGGAAATTTTATTAATACTATCATATAGTTTTTATATCATATCATAAACTAGAATCTTTAAGCTTCAATTTAACATATATATCATATCATGACCATTAAAAATACAAATGATATATTTTGTTTAAAACAAGATGTTATTTTATATTTAGAAATTTGACAGTTTCATCTTTAATAATTTTTTTCTGGGAATTTTATGAATACTATCATATAATTTTCATATCATATCATAAACTAGAATCTTAAAGCGTCAATTTAACATATGTACCATATCATGGTCATTAAAAACACAGATGATATGATTTTTTGAAAATTTGATGTTATATTTGCAAATTTGACAGTTTTCGACAATTTTTTTCTGGGAATTTTATTAATACTATCATATAGTTTTTATATCATATCATGAACTAGAATCTTTAAGCTTCAATTTAACATATATATCATATCATGACCATTAAAAACACAGATGATATGGTTTATTGAAAATTTGATATTTTATATTTGCAAATTTGACAGTTTCCTCAACCATTTTTTTCTGGAAATTTTATTAATACTATCATATAGTTTTTATATCATATCATAAACTAGAATCTTTAAGCTTCAATTTAACATATATATCATATCATGACCATTAAAAATACAGATGATATGATTTTTTGAAAATTTGATGTTATTTTATATTTGCAAATTTGACAGTTTCTACTTTAATATTTTTTTTCTGGAAATTTTATTGATTTTATCATATAATTTTTATATCATATCATAAATTAGAATCTCTAAGCTTCAATTTAACATATATATCATAACCGTTAAAAACATATATGATATGATTTTTTGAAATTTGATGTTATTTTATATTTTCAAATTGGACAGTTTCTTGAACAATTTTTTTCTGGCAATTTTATTAATAATATCATATAGTTTTTATATCATATCAAAAACGAGAGTCTTTAAGCTTCAATTTAACATATATATCATATCATGACCATTAAAAACACAGATGATATGATTTTTTGAAAATTTGATGTTATATTTGCAAATTTGACAGTTTCTTCAACAATTTTTTTCTGGGAATTTTATTAATACTATCATATAGTTTTTTTTATCATATCATAAACTAGAATCTTTAAGCTTCAATTTAACATATATATCATATCTTGACCACTAAAAATACAGATGTGTTTTTTTTTAAAACGAGATGTTATTTTATTTTATTTGCAAATTTGACAGCTTCACTTTAATATTTTTTTCTGGAAATTTTATTAATATTATCATATAGTTTTTGTATTATATCGTAAACTAGAATCTTTAAACTTCAATTTAACATATATATCATATCATGACCATTAAAAATACAAATTTGACAGTTTCTTCAACCCCCTTGTAATAACATTTTAGGGTTATAAAAATCGCCAAAAAGTGTCATTTTATTAGCAACAGTTATCTGCCAAATTCCATTCTTCTAAATTCCTCCGTAGTGGATTTATTAAATAAAAGCAACCACCCTTAATTTTTGGTGAAAAATCACTCCTTGAAATCTTTCGCATCAATTTAGAAACAGCCTGTACACATCTGTCATTTTCAAATAGGTTAATAGAATAAATATTCAATAGATGACGTTGGTATCTTTACAAAATGTTATCTAAATAGTTAATTTACTAATATTTCCTCATACAATTAAAAACTTACTGATGTTTTGTATTTCAAACAAATTAATTCCAAAGAGCAATATAAATTGAGCTCATGTTATTATTTTGAAAATTAAAAACTCAACGTTATCCCAGAAATGAGTGTTTCGGCCTTGACACTTGAAAACGATTGAAAACAACTAATTATGGATAAAATAGGAAAATGCATTTACCGAATATTTGAGAAAGAGTTTAACATTTTAAAAACTCGGAAAAAAACTCGCGTTTAACTCTTTGGGCTGTTTTATACACTGATAACTTTTATCTAACCAAATCTACCGCAGCTTATCTTTGTTTACCAGGGGATAAGAACGATTATGTTCATAACACATTTTTTTAAATAAAAATAGGGAAGTCTACGGCCGGACCAAAATAATAAAAAAAATTCACCAGGACCGTAAGAACAAACCACTCAAAGTGTTAATGACTATTAATACAACCGAACCTGCCTCTGGTATTATAGAGGATGTACTTAATTTATGCGATTAAAACGATATTAAGGGGAACTAAAAGGGGAATAAAAAATACTTACCTCCATAATACGAATGCCATAACAGCTAAAACAAAAGCCATTGCAGCGCAAGCAACGCCAGCGATCATCCCAGCAGATAATTCGTGGGTTGTGTGTCTCATATAAAGTTGTTTTTTATCACAATCAACCTGCATATGAACTCTAACCGGATCAGAAATCAATCCATATACCAATTTTCCGGTATACAAACTTCGAGATGATGCAGCCAAGCGTACTTCATAATTTGAATTTGTTGATACGTTCTTAATTGAATACTAAATACAAAAAAATGTTTTTAAAACAAATTGATTACAATGTTATTATTTACTTACAGAACTATCTAAATGTTCTGTAGAAGATTGAAGGTCAATAGTTGTATCTTCTAGATATTCTCCACTAAGATAGATTCTATAAGAGTCTATTGAATGATAATATCTAATTGGTCTTTGCCACTGGACGTAGATAGTGTCTTGAGTTTGACACGTCAAATTCAATATACGAGGTGCATCCGGACCATCAATATCAGTTTTATTGAAAACATCGTCAGATTTTTCTCCTTCATTCTTTGAAGTAAACGCCTTCACCCAAATAATGTAGTCGCTATCGGGTTCTGAAAGCATTTTTAATAATCGTTTTAAAAATCAAACAGTGTACAACTTATTTTTTAACACATACATTAATTTTCAAATTTAATCAACATTTCTTTTTGGATTTTTTTTTTGTTTTCAAGATTTAGATTTTTAAACTGGAAAATTTCTTTTAATTCGTTAATTGATTAACTGGGAAGGTCAAGTGGATATGCGACACGTAAATTGTTGTTAGTTGTTGTAATTAAACGAACATGACTTAATACTTACTGAGCTTGGTCAGTTTGTATCTGATATACTTATCTGCCAAAAAGGAAATGCTTGGTATTAGTATGTGTTTTGTATTATTATGTTAATTTTGTATTAATTTTTTTTTATTAATTATTTGTCACTTTGTGTGATATTATATAAAGAGGGTGGCAGAAAAAAAGGTATTTTTTAACAATTCTAATTGGTGGTTTTATCAAGTTCAATCAAAGTTATGTTAACATGATTAACAATAATACTTATAATAAATCTTTATATATTATCTTTATATAAAGAAGAAAGGTCAAATTAAATATGAGAGATTTTGTGATGTTAACATCATTTCAGATAGTGCCATTGTATTCCACGTATCGAAGTTCTTTTGGAAAACTTCTTCTCTGTTAGTTGTATTTTTGTAGTTGTAAATAATCTACTATTAATTTCTTTGTTACTTATTATATTGCGTAATAATTTCATCCGTAGATATGATAAACAATCGGCTATCTCCAAACAGCAAATGGAAATCATATTAGGGAAGGTTATGGCGTGAGTTGCTTCACTTTGGACATTCTGTAACAAATTTCAGGAAGATTGGTCGAGTAGTTTTTGAGATAGAGAACTTCTGTTTCTTTATAAAATAGACTTTTTATTACTAACTTTCAGTGCTTTCCAAACTCGTTGCATCACTTCTGTAGAATAATTTAACAGAAGCTATATTTTCGCCTAAGTATTAGATTTATATTTGCAAACATTGATAGAAGCTAGGCAAATTAAGCGTAGAAAGATGAAAAACTCAGATAATGATGATTCTAGTGCTGCTTCATTTTCAACTCAAATCACAGACAAAAAGTAAATCTTTTGTATACAATATTAAAATCAATGGCGAGTTTACTCCAGTTTGCAAAAGTGCGTTTTTACAAATACATGAAGTATCTCGAGATAGAGTTGTAAGGTTATGTATCTTATTAGTGCAGAACACCAGTCGATATGAGGCAAAAATCGCAGTGGAAATGCAATTGATGGCAATATATGTGTCCTTATGTCTGAACATATCTCTAAATACAGATGGTATGACTTTTTGAAAACTTGATGTTATATTTGCAAATTTGACTGTTTCTTCAACAATTCTTTTCTGGGAATCTTATTAGTACTATCATATAGTTTTTATATCATATCATAAACTAGAATCTTTCAGCTTCAATTTAACACATATATCATATCATGACCATTAAAAATACAGATGATATGATCTTTTGAAAATTTGATGTTATTTTATATTTGCAAATTTGACAGTTTCTACTTTAATATTTTTTTTCTGGCATTTTTTTTAATATTATCATATAGTTTTTATATCATATCATAAACTAGAATCTTTAAGCTTCAATTTAACATATATATCATATCATGACCATTAAAAATACAGATGATATGATTTTTTGAAAATTTGATGTTATTTTATATTTGCAAATTTGACAGTTTCTACTTTAATTTTTTTTTTCTGGAAATTTTATTAATATTATCATATAGCTTTTATATCATATCATAAACTAGAATCTCTAAGCTTCAATTTAACATATATATCATATCATGACCATTAAAAATACAGATGATATGATTTTTTGAAAATTTGATGTTATTTTATATTTGCAAATTTGACAGTTTCTACTTTAATTTTTTTTTTCTGGAAATTTTATTAATATTATCATATAGCTTTTATATCATATCATAAACTAGAATCTCTAAGCTTCAATTTAACATATATATCATATCATGACCATTAAAAATACAGATGATATGATTTTTTGAAAATTTGATGTTATTTTATATTTGCAAATTTGACAGTTTCTACTTTAATTTTTTTTTTCTGGAAATTTTATTAATATTATCATATAGCTTTTATATCATATCATAAACTAGAATCTCTAAGCTTCAATTTAACATATATATCATATCATGACCATTAAAAATACAGATATGATTTTTTGAAAATTTGATGTTATTTTATATTTGCAAATTTGACAGTTTCTACTTTAATATTTTTTTTTCTGGAAATTTTATTAATATTATCATATAGCTTTTATATCATATCATAAACTAGAATCTCTCAGTATCTTATTAGTGCAGAACATCAGTCGATATGAGGCAAAAATCGCAGTGGAAATGCGATTGATGGCAATATATGTATCCTTATCCCTGAACTTATCTCTAAATTTGAGGTAAGAGAAACACATTATAGTTCTAGGAAAAACCAATATTTGGATACACAGCTAAATATCTCAAAAATGTATGAAATGTTCCAAACCGATCATCCTGAGTTGAGAGATAAAGTAAAATATTGTTTTTATTATAGTTTCTTTAAGGAAAACTTTAATCTAACGCAAGTTGCTGTTTGCAGTCAATGTGAGAATTTCAAATCCAAACTAAGAGACTCTTATCTAAGCGACAGTGTAAAGCGCACAAACGCAAGCCAAGAAGTTTTATACAAAACAAAAAAAATGATTAACACCACTGAAGAAGATACACTGGTGCTTTGTTTTGACTTTATCAAAATTTAGCATTACCAAACATACCTGTACTGGAGATATTTTACATGTGCTAGCTTTGGCTTAATGTGATGGCCCTTCAGGGCAAAACAAAAATCATTGTATTGTGCGATTTCTAACGAATCTTTGTGATAGGACCTCCCTACAGTGCTGGCAGTTCATCTGGAAAGCTTCCCATCAATATAAAGAAAATCACATATAAAGAATACAACAGAAGCTGAGTGTAACGTAGATGTATGTGGATGAATAAATTGAACACACAAATAACGGTAACATAAAGACGGTAGTTTTTGATGCTCTACTGTTGATAGTGATTTTAAGTTTAATAGACTTATGCACAAAAATTGTGATTCTCTCTTTATTTTTTGTTCTATGTTTGAAATCAAAGTAATTGTTTAATTTTTTTCTTTGATATTTAATAAATTTATGTATAAAGTATAAGGTGTTCTTATTTAACATCCTACTGCTTTTTAAATAGGCATAATTTTACTAAAAATTATACAAAAAAAAATTACAAAATTTTTATAAATTCCTTATGAATAGAGTATAATTTTAAAAATTAAATACAAGCAAAAGTGTACTTGGGTTTCTGAAATAAACAATTCAATTGATGGTTTATAATTATTAACAAATTGAATTTCATTTATTGTATTTATGAGTTAACGTTTAAGTTAAAATAGTTTTTTAAGTTCGGGTAAGTTGTCAATATTATACACATGCCTTATTATTAGCTAATTGGAAAGACATTTAGCGCTGGTTAATATTTCATTTGAAAGGTTATAAAACAGAGAAATTTTTAATATAATTTGTACGCCAAATGTATTGTTGAAATTTTCAAATAGCCGCTCATAAAAAATTACTTTGTTTAAAAATTAACTTGTCACGAAACATTTTTTCCCTGCATTTTTAAACAATCGGAATATTTAAAATATTTTTCAACGTAAAATGTGTATTAGAGTGTAGTCTATTCACAGAAGCCAAAAAAATATTATTAAACTGTAAATTCCAATATTTTTAGGAGTATATACTGAAAATGTACAAACACTAAAAAATTGAAATAATTCCTAAATTATTGAACTTTGTATAAGGCATATTTGCCTTAATCAATTGCAAATGAGCTCTATAATAATGCATTTCAATAAATACGTTTATGTACTAGTCACAATATATACAAGTATACAATCTGTTCTAAATTAAGTGCGCACCATTGGTAACTTTGTTATTAGTGGAAGTACAAAGTCGGTTAAATAAGCATTTTTTCTGTCGATTACAATGGTGAAAACAGAAAAACAATTGAATGTGTCCTTTAAGAAAAAAATAGGAAAATGTAATTTTTTAAATGGAACACCCTGTATATTTTTTGCAAAATTAAGTATACAACATTTTTAAAACCAAAAAGATCATAAGCAAGTTAACCCATTCGAGACGGTGATTTAGACAGCAAGCTAATGCTAAATTATTATTGATTTGAAGTTAATTAAAAAAATTGAATATTTCTCATTTATTCAGAATATCCTATTAGTAACCTATTAATATTAAAAAATGGTATTGACTCATTTAGAAAAATGCGACATGTTAGAGACTTATTTAGTGTAGAGGAAAAAATAGTTCCTGAGCACTGGAACAATATGGTGAAATGTATCCAGAACTTGACCACATTTTGCTATATTAAGATCAATTCCATTCTGTACAAACCAGAAACTGATAATGTTTAGATAAACATTGAAAAGAAGGGGACCAGCAGTGAATGTATCAGATTTAAAACCGTTGTAGCTCACATAGCAAAGTCTATTTGAGAGGTAAGATGAAATTAAATCCACGAAATTGCTCGCTGATGAACTGCGTTACCTCTGCTAAATTAGTCATAGTTGAACGACCAGTCATAAATCCGTGCTGATGATCAGATATATATGGGCGAACACAGTAGCTCATTCTGGAGTATAGCAATATCTCGAAGACTTTTGAGCAATTGTTCAAAATACTAATAAGTCGGTAATTTTCAATACAAATCTGTCTCCCTTTTTAAAACCCGAGTTATTCGAGTTTTTTTCCATACTGCAGGAAAAGTTGGGAGACCCTCGTCGCCAGCGGTAAAGTTTCATACAGATTTCTACCTTCTCGACAGAAAGTGGAGTAATGTAGAAGGAGCCAGGACAGTTGACTTGCAGATTACAGGTGTTGATAGTTGTAAGTCCAGGATTGAAGGCTTCAGAAAGCAAGACAGAGAAGGTACTACTATTCCCAGGGGATCAGAGATCTCAGAGCCAATAAGGGTCATACAGCCTGGAATACGCAAAGAACAGGCTATTTATATATAATTTTAGAATAATAACAACATTTATTATCCAATTGGCTAATAATGATCCAACACAGAGGAAAAAAGCTTGTTGCAGTACACAAACTTTCCAGTATACAAAATCCTCTTCAAAAGTAAGGGAGACACCTAAGGCAAAACATTTCAATTATTAAAGAGAGTAAGATCAATATAATAAAGACAAGATGAAATACTTGATGTTACTTTTAGTTTGTAATAAGAAAATATTTTTGTAAAAAACCCTTTCTTTTCTGTTCCACCATATTCAACCTTATATAATAATAGCCTATACAAGACATATCACCTATACAATACAATAATTAACATCATTAACTAAAGTACAAGCAGTGCATCTTTTGTCAATGGATCGCAGATACGTGTAGGCAAAATGTGAACTTTTTAAGATGCATTTTGTGGACCGATGAAGCCAAATTTTCAAATAGAGGAATGTTTAATCCTAAAAATATGCACTATTGGTTTCTTGTAAATTTATGTATTGTTCATCCCAGAAGTCCTCAAATACAATTTAGTATTAATGTGTGGTGTGGTCTAATAGGGAGTCAAATAATTGGGCTAATGTATTTCCAACAAAATGGAGTTCCTCCCCATCAGTTTTGCGAAGTGAGAATATTACTAGAAAGGCTTTTTCAAAATAGGTGGATAGCAAACAGTGGTCGTTGGCTTTCAAGATCACCTGACATAATTCCATTGGATTTTTGCTTTTGGGGTTATGTCAAGGACGAAGTTTATAAAAGGAGATATGTGAACTTGATCAAACTTCAGAAAAGCATTACAAACGTTTTAAGACACATTGATAGAAGAACACCTTTAAAAGCTACAAAACATGTAATAAAGAATGCCCAAAAATGTATTGAACAAAATGGTGATGTGTTTGCACATCTAATGTGAGTTTTTTCTGTTTAAATAAAATGAAAAAGTAAACTCGAAAAATAATTTTTTGCGACGAAATATTTCACAGCCATTTATAGTCAACTGGGCTAAAATGCAAATAAGCTGATAATTCGGTTATTTTCAATTTTAGGTCAATATTGCTTATAGCAGAAGTATCATGAACCACAACGTGAGCAGCAAATAGAAAAAAATTAATTAATCGGATTTTCGGTCAGCATGATTAAAAGTAAAACAACTTCTTTAAAATAGCTAATATTACGATTGTTGATTACAATTTTCTTCAGAGCATTTTATTGCTAAAAGATTTTACAAAGAAGAAACGTATGTCAAGCAACAATATTTAAGAAGGAAAAAATATAACTTACTTGTAACTCGAAGTGGCGTAAAATGTAAAAAGGGAAAACATGTTTTTTGGAGTGAGAACACAAATCCCAAAAATTCAAGTTGTACAGTGTAAAACAAAAATTCATCAAACATATGAATATAAAACAAATAATAAGTTTAATATATATTGAATCACTAAATTTTTATCTGTATATAATTTAACTCTAATTAATTAATATAAATCTAATTAAACAACTAAAAAAACATATCATTGGAGAAAGTTGAGGTGTTATTGGGACTAGAACCTTGTTAGTTGGGTGAATTATTGTGGTTAAACCTATCTAAGGCAAACAAATAAGCATAAATGTTGCTAAGGTTCTAAGTATCTGTTTTAAAATTTACAGCATTCTATGTATAATTGATGTGTACCATTTCCAAGAACAGCCTATTATGATAATTACTTTCTGAATTCAAGGATTTTTCATCCCGAAAATTAAATTCATGTCCGCACTCCTAAACGTGTTGGGATAAAGCATTACTGAACTTTTTTAGTCTACAGTCACTTGTATGTTTTGAGGTTGGTTTGATAAACCAATCAAATTGAATGATGTTATTTTCATTTCTTATCATTTTCGTGTCTAGGAAAGAAATACAGTTGTCTTTTTCGATCTCAATTGTGAACTGAATGCTAGGATGAAAACTGTTAAACAAATTCAACGCTACATCTATATCATTTTTATATATTCCAATGATCAAATCATCAACATACTTTTTGATAAAACTGATGCGAAAACCCGAGTTGTTATTAACCAAAATCTCATCCAACGCGAAATCCATCACCATCAGAGCCAGAACCGGCGATATTTTAGAGCCCATAAGGGTGTCCTCTATTTGATGGTAAATTACATTATCAAAGGTGAAAATTGAAGTATCAAATATAAGTTTCAAGCCAAGCAAAAAAGTGTCTTTGTCCCATGAACAATGATCAGCAATTAAATGCCATTTGTCCTCCACAATTCTGTCAACCAAATCCAACGGAATGACAGTAAAAAGGCTAACAACATCTAAAGATATTAAAATGTGATCCTGAGGAAGGCTATAGCCCCTAAATTCATCCACAAATTGAAAGGTGTTGGTAATGTTGTAGCACCAATCGATGATATGATTGGCTTCAATGGTGTCCTCTCCTTATGTATTTTTGGTAAAAAGTATGCTTTTGCAAGGATTGAGTTATTAGTTGTAAGTTGTCTCTTTTCACCGTTGTTCATGTACTTCTTTTCATAAAGTAATTTTGTACAGAGATCAACGAGTTATTATTAAGGACCTTGTAGACATTAGTGTCATTTAACATATCTTTGGCCTTAATTAAGGAATCACCTTTGTGAAGGATGACAGTGGTGGCACCCTTGTCAGCTTTGATTACCAAAGCAATCAATGAAGGATTATCCCTGAGAAAAGTTTTTGTTTTCTTTAACATGTTAAACAATCAAAGATGCAACCCATCACATGTTGTGCCAGTAACCTAATAATTAGTAATGATATTTGTAATTTTAGCCCTAACATTTTTTTGGTCACCTTTTAAATATTTAACAATATTTTCTAAATACATAAGTAACCTTTTTATATTGAAATTGGTAGCAACGCAAAGCAAAGTAGCAACTCCCTCAGATGTTAAATTAACAAGTCAGTTTGTACTATCATCACAAATTTAAAGTGATTTTAATTTCCAAATTAAGAGTACTTGCTGCCCACCTGCTCCTGATGTGTTCTATCTTATAATATTGCTTATAAAGGTGAACTTGTTTTAAAAATGTTGTACATTTGATTTTGCAAAAAATATACAAGAATTACATTTTCCTAATTTTTTCTTAAACAACACATTCCATTGTTTTTTTGTTTACACCATTGTAATTGGCAGAAAAAATACTAGTTTAGTTATTTAAGAGACTTTGTACTATATTAATAATAAAGTTACCAATGGTGAGCACTTAATTTAGAACAGGCTGTATATTGAGATCATCTTAGTAATTTTAAAATAATAACAACATTTATTATCCAATTGGCCAATAATGATGCAACACAGAGGAAAAAAGCTTGTTGCAGTACACAAACTTTCCAGAATACAAAATCCTCTTCAAAAGTAAGGGAGACACCTAAGGCAAAACATTTCAATTATTAAAGAGAGTAAGATCAATATAATAAAGACAAGATGAAATACTTGATGTTACTTTTAGTTTGTAATAAGAAAATGTTTTTGTAAAAAACCCCTTCTTTTCTGTTCCACCATATTCAACCTTATATAATAATAGCCTATACAAGACATATCACCTATACAATACAATAATTAACATCATTAACTAAACCTCCTCCTTAATTTCACTTATGTTGTAATAATAATTGATTAATATCATCTTGTTAACACATTTTAGTAAGTAACAACAAATAAAAACAAATAATATCTCATAAATGTACCTAACCTAAAAATATAAGAATACAAAGAAATTAGCTTACTGAGTTTAGTGAGGTTATATCGAACATTCTTTTCTCCACTAAAATGAAAGTACTGTACATCGGTTAAATTTCCATTCATGAAGTACACCCTGTATCCTTGAATAGCCCCATTTGTATGATCTGGTTCCTTCCAACGTAATGAAATTGAATTTGCAGTTACATCGACGACACTCACATTTAATGGTTTACTAGGTACTGCAATAAACAAAACAAAAATTAATTAAAATCTACTATGTTTTGTTTTATAAAACAAAAGCACATATATATGTGTGTATGTATGTGTGTGTGTGGATAAAGTTAGGTTAAAAATGTGATAAATTTACGTTTATCTATAGGTAGAATGGTGGTATCAATAATTTCGGTGGTGGTCGTTTCCTGTTGGTTGGTGAGAAGGGCGCAAATAGCGATGAGAAACGTGGTGGCATGACCCATTCTAAAAACCGTTCCGACAATGTATTTGTTGAGAAGAGGAACGGTTTTTTTTTCGAGGTGATCCACAAAACGACGACGAGCACAAACGGCGATGAGACGCGCGGAATCGGTGTTGATTTTTTTAAGTTGTCATTATGCACCGGGCAGCGAGACGTTTATCGCGTCGAGGTAGACGTCGAAGTATCATAACGCGACCGTGCAATGCGCATTTTAACCGATGAAAAACTGTGACGAAAATCAGCCGTGCACCGCCCAACGGTTGACAGCAACAGCCCGAACAGCCAGCAGCCAGCAGCAGCAGGGCGGCCGAAACTGAGGAGACCCGAGCAGTAGTAGCAGTAGTAGTAGGGGTCATGACCAACGCCGGAGCGCCAATCTCCATCCTCGTTTTCGTGCCGCCGCTTGGCTTGGCAAAGTTAAAATACAAAAAACGTCCGGTTCGATTACATCGATTTTATAATCCCTCACATATGCGCATTAAAAAAAATACTCTCAAACACTACTTTTTTCTAGTCATTAAACTTTTAATCATTAGGCTAATATACATCAAAAATGTTTTTTCTATCTTCCTGGGTCGGTTTTGCAATTTGGTTTAGTCTGTCGTTGGGTTCGTCTGTATCGATCTGGTGCGGTTAGGGGGAAAAGCGACAAGATTCTGTCTGTTCGTGCCGAAGAATCCCCCATTTTTTTTCCTCTCCCAACGACTCCGACCTCTTCCTCTCCACAGTTTGCACCGTTTAAAACCGTCTACGCCGACGGTCGACCCTTTTTCTTTCTTTTCTTATACCTACACTCAACGACACACACCGGTAATCAATTTCATTCAATTTAGGATTCTTCCACTTTACTAAAAATATCTTTAAAATTTTACTGAATCGTTTCAAATATTACATAATCATCTTCTCATTAAAAAAAATTAATTAACAGGTCCGAATACCGGAGACTCCAAAATATGACGATTTAATCCAGCCATACTCAACCTTTTTTTCTTTAGGGCCACATACCTATACCGGCCCATACACGGTGATGCAAAACTGAAGCATGTTTGCATGCGAGCAAATGTGAAACGAAAATTAGGTTCAAATTTACTAATCAGTTTTAATAGTGGCGCGCCGTGGTAAACGATCGCCGGGGTGCGACTCATTTTTGGCGCCCCAAATTCGTATTGAAATAAGATACAAACATTGGAACAACAAGTAATTTATAAAATATATTTTTTATACTAATTTATTACAATTTGCAAAATATTTATAAAAAATTAATTTTTAATAATTTTTTCTTGTAAGTACGAAGGCTTTCACGGCCGGTGTGAATTAAACTAAAATGACACGTT